GATAGATATAAACTTGAACAATGATTACTGGATAATGATCAATGGTCATATATTAAAAAAGTCATTATGTTTTAGTTCTATTTAAGTAAATTACCCATTTTTAAAATATTAACACAAAAATACTTCTTTCTTAAATTTTCTAACACATACTATACCATCAAAAAGAAAACTAACACATACAATTCCTAATTCCCAAGTAATTCCTTGTGTGCATTCTCAAGCCATTCATCTATGGTAAACTTAGTAGATTGTTTTCATAAGTACTCCCTATTCCCTAATATGGAGTTAATTAAAACATAACCCCCCCCCCATACACACACACACACATACATATATAGACACACACACACACATATATTCACATTTGGGTTACTAATTAATCTGGATCAAAAGACGATATATGTATATGGACATATCAGACGACACATATTCCATTATCATTCATGACCCATCATCATCATCATCATCATCATCTTCTTCTTCTTCTTCTTCATCTTCATCATGTTTTCTGAAAAAAAAGATAAAAATAGTTGAAAATCCGACGGGGCATAACATTCACGAAAAATACTTCGTCGACGTTCACCGCCCGCTGGGGAGTGGAAGCTTCGGGGTTGTACACGTGTGCGTCGACTGGAAATCCGGCCGCCAGTTCGCATGCAAGACCGTGTGGAAAGGCATCCTTTTTAGAGACAACAACCGAAATGGGGCCATTGAGGACTTGAGGAACGAGGTCGCCGTCATGAGGCGTCTGAAAGACGCCGGCGACGGCAGTAGATATGTCGTGTCGTTGAGAGACGTGTACGAGGATGACGAGGTGGTTCACGTCGTGATGGATCTGTGTCGGGGCGGGACGCTGTTCGACTTGATGGTGAAGAGGATGCCTTCTCGTCGCGTTTTCCGAGAGGACGAGGCTGCAATGGTTATAAGGAGCATTGTTCAAATTATTCAGGTTTCTTCGAGTTCGTGTCATTTAGGGTCTGCGTTGGGGACGGGCCAGGTTAGGGAGGTTTACCGTAGGTAATTAAATTTGAATTGGAGTAACAATCTTACACGGATAAAAGGGTGTAGAATTACCCCGGCCTTATAACCAAGTCAACTCAATCTACGAACAGGTAGTTCACGATACTGCTAAACCCACGTCCAAATAGTCAGGTAGAATCAAATTGTGAAATTTGCATTAAATAGGACTAAAATATAAGTCATTTCACAATGTAGGATTTAAACTTTTTTATTTCCTAAATAGGACTTAATAATGTCTAGTGGAAGAAATAATGTCCAGTAATGATGGACATTTACTTGAATAATGACTAATTGATAATGACCAAAGATCCTACATTGGGAAATAAAAACATATGGTCCTATATTGAGAAAGTCATTATATTTTAGTACTATTTAAGTAAATTTTCTCAATCATATTAGGACTGGACATGCTCTAAATTACTCCCTCCGTCCTATAATGATCTTCCCAGAGCACTATTCGAACTTCACGGGAATTTATATTTATTTGTAATTTTTCATTGCCTATATGATAAAATAAAATATTCTTGTCACCACTTGTTTTGTTGAACTTTTGATGTAGTTTTTAAATATGTATGTTTTATTTTTTATTTCTATACCAATATTTAAATAAAATAGATTGAAAAAACTTGGAATTTTTCTTCGTTTTGCGAATCGGAAAGATCATTATAGGACGGAGGGAGTAAAACAATGTTAAAATTTCGATAGGCGGAGAAAACGAGTAGTGTCGAGTTAAAAACTAAGCACTTATATGTAATTGGGAATCTAATTTCTAATCTAAAAAGTTACATTGCAGATTTTGAATGAGAAAGGAATAATCCATCGTGACGTCAAGCCTGAAAATTTTATTTATGCAAATAAGAGCGGCCACGACTGCAATGCGTTAAAGATAATTGACTTTGGATTAGCTCATTTCTTTAAGCCTGGTAATTATTAAGCAGTTCGCTTTTCTCTTTTATACCCTTGATCTTTTTCACCATTTACACTAGCTTTATTACCATTGCTCCATCAATTCTTAAAAAAAATAGTGAAATTTGCACTAAATAATACTAAAACATACGAAATATGTTACTTTTCAATATACTCCCCTCGTCCCATGAAACATGGGACTTTTGCTTTTTAGAAGGGATTTAAGGGGAGTGTATTTTGGTACTGAATTTCCAAAAATGTCCTTTGATGTGAGAGTAAAAGTATGATTTGATGGATAGATTATTAGTAAAAAGATATGATGTGATGGTTATGGTATGAAAAAGTAAGGGGTAAAAGTGACTTTTAATAGAAATGAGAAGTGTTTTGTGGGACGGATAAAAAAAGAAATGAGAAAGGTTTCATGGGACGGAGGGAGTAGTATTTAAACTTTTTTATTTCTTAAATAGTACTTCAATAATGTATAGTGAGAGAACAATGTCCAGCGATGGTAGGTGGGCATTGAGTTTGAACAATGTCTAGTAATGGTAGACATTTACGTGAACAATGACCAGTGGTGCTACGTTAGGAAATAAAAACATATGTTAGAAAAGTTACTATGTTTTAATAGTATTTAAATAAATTCCCCAATGAAGTACAATAGTAGTACCCTTCGTCCCTGAAAATCTTTTGTTTTTTTTCATTCGTCCCAAAAAACTTTTTCTCACTTCTATTAAAAATCACTTTTACCTTATTAATTCTTAACATAGTTGTGATATCACATTTATTCATTATTAATTTAACAATCAAATTTCATTTTTGCTCATCACATCCAATAACGTTTTTTTAAACTCCACCAAAATATACTTTTTTTAAATCCCATAAAAATCAAAATATCCCATATTTTTAGGGAGGAATGGAGTACAAGTTAAGAATTTCTAGCATCTTACTCCATAACTAGTCTCTCTAGCTCGTATTAATTGTCTCACTTTATTATTTTCATGTCAAATTCTAATATATAATTATTATTTCTAATATAGGTGAGAAGTTTAATTCTATAAAGGGAACCCTTCCCTACATGGCTCCGGAACTATTAAGGGTAGATTATGGACCAGAGATTGATATTTGGAGCGCTGGGATCACACTCTACGGCCTTCTCACTCTAAACTTTCCCTTTGCGGGAGGTACGTCATTTACTCCGTATTTGAAATTCAATTATTAGAAATCACTCTAAATAAGATTAAAACATTGAAAAAATCTCAAAATAAGACTTTCATGCTTTTATTTCCGAAATATGAGTACACACTGTAGTAATATGGAGGTAATGTGGCACTATACACGTGCACATCACTATACTTTTTGGTAATAATGTACATGATCGCGTTTGTAATGTAAATACATTTTAACTCTTATTTCAAGAATAAAAACATGGAAGTCCTGCTTTGGTATATTTTCAATGTTTTACTCTTACATCAGCCTTTTTTCCCTTCAATTATATACTATCTCTGTCTTTGAGTAAACCTTCGTTTTTTTAATTTTATTTTTATTAGTTCTAGAAAAATCAATCAATTTTTTAATTATGTTTTTCGACTTGCGTCGACCTAATTTTAAAATACTTAACTAGTTACTAGTCTTCCGTTTCATAATCATCATTTAATTTTTCAAAATCAATGTCCTAACTTGCGTCGAGCAAATTTAAAATACTCCATCTGTTTCGAAACGGTTTTTTTAATTTGAAATTTTTATTTACTATTCAAAAAGTCAAATTTCATCTTTCTATTTTCATTGTTCATTTGATAAAATAATACACCCTCCGTCCCAAATTATAACCCACATTTCGAATAACGTGTTTAATATCATCTTTTTAAAATCATTTTATTTACAAATTGATAGAGAAATAAAAAGTAAAAATTACTAAATTTAAAAGTAGATCAAAAGTTCTACAAAACAAAATACAAAAAAAATTATTTTATTAAATGATCAACTAAAACGAGTAAACAAACAAAAGTTATCGAAAGACCAATATAGTAATTGTTGCTTACGAGTACATTTTAAGACAGAGGGTGTATAGTATATCAACCTTTGTTTTGTAAATTTTTTATTCAATTCTTCAATATTCAATTTTGTTTTTAATCTATACCAGCTTTAAAATAAATTAAATTCAAAATAGCTTAGGGCAATCATGTAAACTTTCCAGCTTTTAAATAAATTAAATTCAAAATAGGGTTTGTTTAATTTATTAATGATATGGAATTCAGGAGATTGGGAAGAAATGGGTGAAGCAATTAATCGCATGGAGCTTGGTTTAGAGAGTGATAATTGGCCACATGTGTCCGATAATGCCAAAGATCTTATTATTAAAATGCTTAATACAGATCCTATTAAACGAATCACAGCTTATGAAATCCTTAGTAAGTCTTAAATTGTTAATTACATTATTATTATTATTATTATTATTATTATTATTATTATTATTATTATTATTATTATTATTATATGCTTAATTCAATACTAATTCATCTTTTAATTTTCTCCCTATTTCACAAATGAATCATTTCAGAGCATCCGTGGCTACAAATGTATACCAAGGGAAATTACACATCAGCACACTAGAGGACATTATATGATGGATTGCATAAGGCTTTGTTTGGTACCCGGGATTCAAACTATGAAATTGGAATTGAAAACAATAATTTTAATTCCGTTGTTTGGTAGCACATTGGAATTGGTGGTACCTATAATGAACTGAAATGGGAGAGTTCAATTCCAACCAAATCAATTTCATAGAATTTCAACTCCCAATTACATTTGAATTCCGTCAATTTCGTATGCCAAATGGGTCCTAAGAGTAAATATATATACATATGTTAATTAAACTAATAGAACCAATATATGTTGATTATTTACATGAAACGAGTTAATTAAATTGTGAGATCAATAATTTAAATATCGATTGATTATTATCTATTTGGATATTCAAGAATGGATTGGATATATATATATATATATATATATATATATATATATCTATTTCTATAAGCGCCTACGGCCGTTACCTTAGTCTTTTTGCCGTTTGATTTAACGCCTCAGTGCCTCTCTCCCCGTTTCATCTAATTTGCACGAAAAATGAAGGCTATTGGTCACTTTGCCGCCCACCGCCCACGTCAATGCCTTCTTCGCCGTTCACCGCCCCACTATCGACCACTACCTTCGTATATCTTCACTGGGATGCATTTGCCTCTTCTATCATCTTCATCTTTATCGGAATTGCTCAGCTTCCTTCGGCAAACGCTAGGTAAACCTCCCCCTTCTTTTCCCAATTATTCCTGCACCATTTCCCGGCCATTACTTGTGCACATCCGATAAAAAAAAATTGCTGCTGTCTTTGATTTCGGATTCCTCCCTCAAATTTCTAGGCTCTCAAAAAAAAAGGTATTACTTTACTTCCGGTTTCGATTGTTCCCAGTATTAGATTGGATGAGCACACAAATAAAACTTGAATTAAAGTAATTTTGTTATTATGAATTGATAAAAACCCTTTTACAAATTACTCGTGTGGGGCACTTGCTCTATCTGTTTTTGCAAACGGGTGGTTGGGTTGTGTTTGAAACCATAAACATAACAAGGTCTATGGAGCTGATATGTTAACTTTTGTTGCTCATGTGGTGCCTATTCTTTTCCAGTTACTCCTGCACCATTATCTGTATATTCCCCAATAATAATTTCCCAAAAAAAATGTTTCTCTAATACCTAAATCAGATGTGTTATACATTTTGAATTATGACTTTTACTTTTAGGTGTTCTTTTCTATAGTTTTGATGATTTGGAATGTTCAGTGTGCATATAAATTCATTTCCTTTTTCTTGGTTTGGATTCATAGGCAGAAGTGTGCTTAAGATATATGGAATTTCATGCACTAAAAAAAATTAAATCCAGATGTGATTTCGAAACTTTAAGAGCTGGTTTTTAAACTTTAAAAGCCCCCAAACAGACTTGGAATATGATTTTCAACCCCAAAATGAAAATTTAGAACATGGTTTGAGAAAGAAATTGAAATTGTAGTTGTCATATTTCCAGATTTTGCTGCACTAAACCCTGTAAATTCTTTTCCGTGTTCTGTTACGGTTTTCATTGTTCTCAATTCTTTTATGAGCACACATTTAAATCTTCATTTGGAGTAATTATGTAATTATGAATTGATTAAAAACCTTCTTTTATTACCCATCAGTTTGAATCTGTGATTGGAAACGAGAATGACTGAAAATCTGTTCACAGAATACCTTTGTTCACTTGTACCTACAATTATTCACTTTTACTGCCTATCTGACTAAACAAATTAATTATGTATATTTAGCTTATGAAATTACTCCACATATTGCAAGGAAGGAAAAGAAAGATAAATTTTGTTCTTCTTATTCCTTCATAATGAATCAGCCCTTTCATGCACTTCATATAATTGATTCCCCTAGAAAAAGTGCAGTTGGAACTACTGAATTCCATCCCAAATGGGTCCTTTTCTCTTGCTCTGAGGTGTATCAGAGCACAAACTATTACAGACAAGGTGAAAAATAATCCTGACTAATTCATAACTCCAAATTAGTTTTCCATTATATTTTTCTATGTCTGAAAATTATATTATTATCACTTCTTTTAAAGAAAAAAATTGTATGTTTGATAAGTTTACATTCCTATCAAAATAAATCTAAGCTACACAATTTAATTATATCAATATACATGCCAAATAGTAAGCTAATATACATCATGGAGTTTTTTTCATTTCCTTTTCCTTAGTAGACTTCAAGATTTAAGAATTCACTATATTTGATCCTATTGAAACTTGAAACCTTAAAAGGCATTGTATCTAGAGGTGCTGGTTGGATTGGATAAGTTCATGAAAATAATACATTTGGAAAATAAATAAAAGGATAAATCAATTCCAAATTGTAAAATTTTCAAGTCTACCTTGATATTGATAGAGCAAATGAGTTAAGTTATTCAGCTTGTTCATAATTCTATTCAATTAGAGTGTATATTAAAAGCAACATGTGAATACTGCACTGGTTAATCACATTGAATATTTAAAATATACCGCAACTGTTCCAAAAAACAACCTCTTAATATTCAAGGGTCGCCATATTTTACAAGGTCCCTCAAAAGAAAACTATCATTTCAATTAATTTGCATATGCCAAAACAGGCAGTCCCAACAATCTAGATTTTGTTAGAGGAAAATTTTTATTTCTAAAAAAATCTGCTTGCCTTAGTTTTGTGTGTGGATATCCTTTAGAGCAGTATTTCACGTTTTAGGAAAGACAGATCGGTTCATAGATTACACTGGCAAGGAAAATCATTTACATTCCATTTGCTAGAGCAAGTATACAAAACTGTTAACTTTTGAGTTATTCATAGAAAAACCCGGTTTCAAGTCGAACTATTTATGTATGTTTAAGTATACTTTGTTGAATTTTATCCGTACAACAGTTAACTTATTTTACCTCTTAATATTGAATACAGATCACTTATATACTGTTCGGGCTCTTTCTTCACCTCTTCAAGTTACGCTTCAACTTCTTTGGTATGTTTACACACTTCTAATCTATGCTTACTTTCCCCGTGTAATAAAATGATTTTAAAATTAATCAAAATCCTTACTTTCCCCGTGTTGATTTGTTGAACTTATGCTTAGACTTCCTTCGTATGTTTAAACGCATTTAACCTATATTAATATCTATTTTTTAATAGAATGTTTACTACTCTTAGCAACATAAACATTGATGTATGTACTCTCCATTTTATTATTTTAGGCTTCTTCAAAGGTACTCTAAGTGTACTACTTTTTGCCAAAGTTGTATACTGTAATTCCCATAACTTCAAGCCATTGATTACTCCTACGTTTGCTTGTAACTTCTCAAAGATTCAATGGAAATTGGAATGTCATCAACTCAGCCTGCATCTGAGAGTGATCGGCGTGAGCAAATAAACTTTAGGCGTCGTCTTAGATATCGTGAATTACGTGAAAGGGGAAAAACCTCGCTTCAAATTCTTCCTCTTCCACTCAAGGTGTAGCATTTAACTCCTTTATCATTTATGAGTTATTTATACCTTTCTTTACTTTCGGCCAAATTTTCTAACTTCTTCATGTTTCTCCCAACTCGACTTTCTCCTTCAAATGCTATAACGATGTCACCATTCCACCTACAACTACACATCATATTCTTATAGATTCACTGAAGAAGTTTGCATACCAAGATAGGATTTTCTCTTTAAAGAGGGTATTAGACTGTATTTTTTGTGGGGCAAGCCGCATGCAGTTTGAACCTCTGGGATTTTGCTGTTGTCGGGGTGAGGTCGTTCTTTCATCAACACAGATCCCTCCTACTCTTAGAGACTTATATATCGCCAATGATGTCAAAGGAAAACAATTTCAATCTCTTGTCCGTACGTACAACAACACGTTTGCGTTCACTTCTATTGGTATATATAATTATGACAAAGATCTATGCAGGAGGAATAAAGGAATTTACACCTTTAAGGTTCAAGGACAAATACATCACTTTGTGAACGACTTGCTTCCAAATGGATCTCCACCTCGAAATTTACAACTATATTTTTTTGATACCAATCACCAAGTTGAGGGTAGAGTGCAGCATTGGATAGATTAGATAAAGAGATTGTAACTGCTCTTGTTGAAGTGATTTCAGACAACCCATACGCTCAATTTTTTAAGAGTCTGAAAGACATATGTAATGATGCAGAATTTAGCATTAAGCTACATAACCATCCAAGTCTAGACCAACGAGTTTATAATACTCCTACTGCCTCACAAGTTGTTGCAATATGGGTGGAGGATAACAACACAGAAACTCCAGAAAGCAAACACATTCGTGTTTATGCTCATTGTGGTAAATCACAGAATATACAATATTTTTACGGATGTTATGATCCATTACAATATCCACTGTTGTTCCCTCATGGGGAAGTAGGTTGGCATACAGGGATTGACAGGGTATTATCAGATTCACAACGACAATTAGCACGGAACACACAAATACCCTCTGTTATGCCAGGTCTTAATGTTGCACATACTGCTGAGGAGATAATTCAAATCGAAGAAGATAATATTCAAAGTGGGAGAAAGAGAAAAACTGTTTCATGCAGGGAATATTACGCTTATAAATTCCAGATACGCCATGATGATTCTAGCTATTTATTACACACCGGAAGGCTTTTACAACAGTTTATGGTTGATGTGTATGTTAAGATTGAGACCCAACGGTTGGATTATTATAAACTAAAACAGCTTGACCTCAGATCTGAAACATATCAAGGCGTTGTTGATAGCATGCATATGGGTATGGTATATGGTGATGTTGTTGGGCAACGTGTTGTTCTACCTGCTTCATTCATAGGTGGACCTCGGGATATGCGTAGACGTTACCTAGACGCTATGGCAATTGTTCAGCAATATGGGAAACCAGATTTATTTGTCACAATGACGTGTAATCCTAATTGGCCTGAAATCAAAGAACATCTCCAACACAAAGATGAGGCGCAAAACAGACCGGATCTTGTATGTAGAGTCTTTCATGCACGTTTACAGGAATTCAAAAATGACATAATCAAGAAGAAATTTTTTGGGGAAGTTGCAGCATACATATACGTAATTGAATTTCAAAAGCGTGGCCTTCCCCATGCACATTTTCTTATAATCTTAAAAGTTCCTGCAAAAATTCAAAGTCCCAATTCATGCGACAAGTTTGTTTGTGCAGAAATACCCGACCCTCTACATCAACCACGTTTATATACACTTGTTAAAAAAACACATGATACATGGACCTTGTGGCACCCTTAATCAAAGTTGCCCATGTATGACGAAAAAAAAGGGACAGGTAACAGCCTCCTGTAGAAACAAGTACCCCAGATCTTTAGTTGAGGAAACATCATTTGGTGAAGATTCATTCCCGGTCTACCGTAGAAGAAGCGGCACTAATTCCGTAGAAATACGTGGCTACAAACTTGATAACTCTTGGGTGGTACCATATAATCCACAACTTTTGTTGAAATTTGATTGCCACATTAATGTTGAGATCTGTGCTTCAGTTAGATCCGTGAAGTACATATATAAATATGTTTACAAAGGGCATGATAGAATTTCAATTGGAATCACAAATGATGAAAACGCTCCTTCCAGTGACGAGATAACATCTTATCAAAATGCAAGATGGGTTTCGGCACCGGAGGCGGCATGGAGGATATTTGCCTTCACCATTGCCGAGATGTACCCCCCCGTTCAACAATTGCAAATACACCTGGAAAACTTTCAGTATATCAACTTCTTCGGAAATCAAAGAATCACAAAAATAGTGAAAGATGACACCAGGTCAAGCACAATGTTGACAAAATTCTTTGAAATGAACCTACACGATGTGACTGCAAAAAGACTACAACTTCTTTATGTACAATTCCCAGAGTTTTTTGTTTGGTCAGACACAAACAAGATGTGGACGCTACGAAAACGAAAAAACGTCATAGGACGACTTGTGAGTGTTAATCCAATTGAGGGTGAAAGATATTATCTTCGCATGCTACTCCAACATGTAAGAGCTCCAACATCGTTTGACAGTCTAAAACTTGTAGATGGTTATACAGCATCCACATTCCGAGAAGGTGCAGAGAGAATGGGGCTTCTAACAGAAAATGTTGCTGCTGATGTTTGCCTTGAAGAGGCTGTGATGTATCAAATGCCCAGTAGTTTGCGGAGATTATTAACGACACTATTGGTGTTTTGTGACATTCCAAATCCAAGAGAGTTATGGGCTAAATACAAAAAGTATCTATATGAAGATTTTTCGCAGGTACACATCTACACTCCATTGGAAATGGAAACAATGACACTAAAAGTTATTGGAGATATTACTGAAGCACTTGGAAAAAGTATTCTCACATTCAACCTAACAGAATGTGCCATACCCTTAACAGTTGCTGAAATTCAGGCACGAGAATTAAGAGCAGAATACAACATAAATATAAGCGAGCAAGATCTTCAATGCGCTCAGATTCTCAATCGCGGCCAACAGATTGCATTTGACTCTATTATGAAGAGTGTGATAGCCAACAAACCTACAATGTTTTTCGTAGATGGCCCTGGTGGCACTGGAAAAACGTTTTTGTACAGAGCATTGCTTGCAACCATCCGGAGCAAAAAATGGATAGCTTTAGCTACTGCAACATCAGGCATTGCTGCTTCTATTCTTCCTAGAGGCCGCACGGCACATTCTAGGTTTAAATTACCGTTGGATGGAAATGATAGATACACCTGCAACATTGGTAAGCAAAGTGCAATAGCAACATTACTTAAAGAAGCACGAATCATCATATGGGATGAAATTACAATGGCTAATCGCGGAATTATAGAGGCATTGGATTTAACACTTAGAGATATCATGTCCTCCGATGACCTATTCGGAGGAAAAGTCATTGTTTTCGGAGGAGATCTACGTCAGACACTTCCTGTTGTTAGAAATGGAAACAGACAAGACTGTATAAATGCATGTATCGTAAAATCATCTCATATTTGGCCAAAGATGATACGCCTAACTTTAGAAGAAAATGTTCGGGCGCAAGTAGATCCCTCTTTTTGTGAGTATTTAATGGACATCGGAAATGGGTCAACGCCAACTATAGGTGGTACAAACATCAAAATCCCACAACAATTCCTTGTTCGTACCCCCGACAGTTCAGAATTGTTATCATCCCTGATCACAGCTGTTTACCCAAACTTGAACCTTTTTCAAGAGGATCCATATACGTTGATGGGGAGAATAATATTAACTACTACAAATGAGTATGTCGATGAAATCAACACGATCATAATTGGAAAATTCCCTGGAGAATAAAAAACCTTGCTGAGCTATGACGTACCACTAGATGAGAAATACAAAAATTGCCAAGATTTGTTGCACACGTTAGGTCTACCACCCCACACATTAGTTCTAAAAAAGAATTGTCCAGTAATTCTTCTACGCAACCTAAACCCGTGTGAAGGCCTGTGTAATGGAACGCGCTTAATTTGTGATGCATTTCACGATCATCTAATAAGTTGTTTCATTGCTTTTGGTGAATATAAGGGAAAGCATGTCTTCATACCAAGAATTCCACTTGAGATGTCTAGAGATGAACGTTGCGCAATCCCATTTAAGAGAACTCAATTTCCCGTCAAACTCTGCTTTGCAATGACAATAAATAAATCACAGGGTCAGACACTCAAATTCGCAGGAATCTTTCTTAGGCGACCAGTCTTCTGTCATGGACAACTATACGTTGCAATGTCGCGGGCCAAAAATGCTGCCTCCATCAAGATGCTTATCTATGATGAAATAGATAATTCGAAGACCACAAATGCTACCGCAAACATAGTGTACAGTGAGATCATTGAATACCTTACATAGGAACGCACTAGGTTTTTTGATTTTTAATGCATCTCGTTGCACATTAATTATATTTTAAAGTCCATGTCGCATATTCAAAATTTAATTTGATTACAAACTAATATACTACATTCACTTTTTTCAGAACAATGGATGCAAATCAAGATATTACAGAAGTCACTCCCAGTACTAAATCATGGGGTTGCAAGGTCATACTGATAGAGAAGCTTAACGAGCGTCAATCAGCAAGGGGAGTAACATACAGGGCCATGATCATGGAGGATAGTAAAGTAAGATCTCATATCCCACATTTGTACCCAAAATCTTAAAAAAACACTTATTCTCAAAGTAATAACTCTAATTTATACATAGGGCCATAAGGTGAAAATAATGACCTATGGACAAGATATCACCATTCTTGACAAGCGGCTTGAAGTGAACAACACATACAAGATTTTCAATGCAAAGGTTTCTGAAGCCATTCAAGGGTTTGGTGTTCCCGATGAAAGTTACAGAAATATCTAGACACTCAATCGGAGGACAATGATCCACAATGTCAGCTCAGAAGAGAAAATCTTAATTCAACCAAGTGCAGAACCTGAGATGGATCCATTCTCTCTGTTCTACAAAGCAATGCTTACAAATAAAAAGATCAGTAAGTGGCACAGATTTTGTTTAAGAAAAAAACAGTATACCCTAAAAAAATATGTACTTAACATCATATTTATGTTCTTATATCATATCGAACTACAGATGTACTTGCAATTGTCATTGCCAAACTACAGCGCAAATTCGTCTTCACAAAAAAGGGACAAAAAATGGCAAGTGACTTCATAATCATCGACCATGAGTACGTTCCAACATTAATTCTATTTTTTTGCCTTCACTGTTTTGTTTTTCAAAAAAAAACCTTAAATGCAACTTCTGATTACTGCATATCATAATTTCCTTGACAAACTTTGTTTTATTCTACTGTTCTAAAAAAACTAATGACTGGTGCCTGACTTTGTTGAAAAACTTTGAAGGCCCTCAACACCAGTTGTTTTCGCTTATCAAAATTACCGGTGGTTTTCACTTTCTATTTTTTTAGACTGCTCAGACCACATCTATCGGCATCCACTTTTTGACTATATTCTGTCTTTTCATATTTGCCATATAATTTCAATTTTTTAACATTAACTGACTTTCACTGTACACTATAACCCTTAAACCAGGGGGCTAGGAAATACTTTAAACTTCCTAACCTCTTATGCCTTAGTGTAATCTAAAACTGAAAAAAGAGCAGGTATAAAGTAAATTGCCCAATGTTTCCTTATAACGCTAACTGATTTTGTAATTATAACGCTACGATTTCTTTCCTTATTGGACTATGGTTTGGATATTACTATTTTCTAACTTGAAAATTCATTCTTGTAGATGCAAACCTATCACTTTGACACTGTGGGACACTTTCGCAGAAATCCAGGGGTGCGAAATTCAGCAAGCACTGCAATCAGGCTTTTATCCCACAATAATTGCAAGGAGAATAGCAGCAACATCTTTCAAAGGTAAATGCATAGCATTATTAACAATTCACAATATACCCCATACTCACACACTATACACCTCTACGCCTGAACTTAAACACAATCATTACATCAGGACTTTCATTAACAACACGATCGAATTCATCAATCGAGCTAAACCCAGTCATACCACCTACATCAAGTTTGGATGAATGGTAACGCATTCTTTCTTTTTTCATTCAATTATTCCTTTTGAACATATATTGCATTTATTAATTCAGTGTCTTGCAGGAAGTCTTCAAATACAGCTGCCATAGAGCACGCCATTGAAATGAATAAATGGATGGACCCCTTATCTCTGTTTGCAAAGCCTGAAGATATTCAAACAACACCAATCTCTGAAGTGGCACGTACAGAAAACGAGGTAAACACCAAATCAGCCTGCATCTTATATAAGTTCCTTTTCTATTTACATGCAATTAGTATTTTACATGAATACAAAAAAAGATGTCTAAACATACCAAAGAATTAACAGAGCAATTAAAATTGGAAACTGGACTGCCACACGATGGATATACTCGGTACTCATATCCTCTGCTACCAAACTGAATGGGCCGGCCACTTGTTACTTTTAAATGCGTCCCTCCAACGTACCCAACACCTTTGCGCCATTTATTGGCCAAAGGTAAATATCCCTATTCTTTTCCAATTATTCCTGCAATACCTTCGGCTAACACTCGTGCCCAAAGTTTGGATGTCGAAAAAAATATAAGTAAATAAGTCCACTGAAATAGTGATTTTACATACAGAGTATAGGTGCTTGCCTTATGTCTGTATATGCTTGCCTTATGTCTAAATACAGTCATAAAAACTAACTTTTATGACTAATTACACTAAATGACCCAATTACTGTGTTATTTATCCATTAGTACAAAGTCCACCCAAACATTGATTAAAAAAAAGTGAACCCAAAGTTTGCAATTTATTAGTCCACCTGGCCTGGAATACAAATTTGAAAAACAATAAAAACTTTGTATATGTTTAAATCAAAGCATAAGGCAGCAAATTACTTTCTACTTCAGTTACTGTGTTATTTACTCTATTACTGTAAACTTTGTATATGCTTGCCTTATGTCTGTCATCCATGGTTTAAGTCCATATTTGGAACAAACTTTCACATAGAGATACGAACTGAATTCATACACTTATTTTTATATGTGTAAGTGATATCTATTTGCTCTTTGGTTATGTGATTGCATATATAACATAACATGAATATCTTCAATAACATCAGACTTAGTAGGCAAATGAATGCTGCGGAACATCTCCATTTGTAAATGTAGCTATGCTCTTACACTTATTTTTCTTTTACCATAATTAGATGCAATGAAATCACTGCATCCAGATACCTCTTAGGTTGTTTCTTTTCCCTATTTTACCATCGGTTTCCTCACATGATTCTAAGTCGAATTTAATATGCTGGATACATCTTGCAAACTTCTTATATGCATGTTACACTTTAATTTAAACATATAAAAATACAATACATAATCATACAGGAAGATGTCCACTGGGTTGAAGGACAGTTGCAGGTCTTAGAAGCTGGAGACATTACATTCTACATTGGTTGCAGCAGTTGCAATAGAAAATTGAACTACATAGAAGGAATTAATTTTAAATGCATCTTTTGTGGTGACCCTGAAGCAAAAACAATTAAGAGGTAACCACTTCCTCTTTACCACGAAAGGCACAGATTCTATTTTCAAATACGTGGTTTCACATTATGAATACATTTCTTTAAACTATTTTACAAATCATTACAGATTCAGAATTCTGGCCGAAATAAAAGATGAGCTTAGTGCTCTACAAGTCACACTCTTCACCGACACACTTGAAAAGATTGTACGAGCACTTGAATTGAATACACCAATGGAGTTGATAAAATGCGAAGATTTGAACAACAGTCTTAAATCTCAGAAGGTGACGGCTGCAGTGAAACTACCAACTCGCACCGAACAAACACCTGCATCGAAGACATTCTCAGTGCAATGCCTGTACGACCTCCGTGATGAAAAAACAGCAAGTCCAACCCTTAAGAGAAAGCTGAAAGTGGAACAACCCAGCCCCAAAAAACAGTGCTGAGACATTTCATCATGGTAGAAGCCTTTTGACCTGAAATCCTGCTAGGTTGGAAACCTTAGTTCAGTACACTTGCACTGCACTTTGTCGTGTATACCTACCTAGCCCCTTGTTAAAAACTTACTACTACTAACACCCGCCTACAAGGAACAAATAAGTTCCAAATTTTGTAACCATCACTCTTTTGTAACCATCACTCTTTTGGAACAAAGTAAGTTCCAAATTTTGTAAGTCCCTCTAATACACTTTGTAAAATATAATATATTACATGTAATGTAACAATCACTCTTTTGTGTAATATTAATATACTTCTACTTAGTTAATATATATATATATCTGGGCACACACACGAAGTGTGTCCCATGCTAGTATATATATATATATATATGTATGTATGTATGTATGTATGTATGTATGTATGTATGTATGAGCACAAGAATATATGATAATCCAAATTTGGCAAATATAATATCATGAGGTTTTTTTGAAATAGGTCTTTCATTCATACACTTTCTGGTTCTCAAAATAAAATTAACCCTTCTACCTTTCATTTATAGTTCTTTCAAAATAAAGTTTGCATTCCATCTAAAGAATGAAATGCATGGTTAATTAGAGGGATTAATTAATAATTTATATTATTTAGTTAATTAGATATTTTAATAGTTTAGTTAGATAGTTTAATTATTTTTATTTACTTTTTATTGTTGAGTGGAATTATAACACTCCTTCAAGGATTTCTTTTCGGTTCTTTATCTCGACGCTTTTATTGAACCAACAGGCTTAGGGATCAGTGTTTGCTAGGGTTAGGGTTTACCATATTCATCTATATATTGAGTTGTAATCTCATTTAGAATAGAATGAATGAAGAACAGCAATATTTTCACTCCTAAAGCCTAATCTCTCTCCCCTCCTCTCTAGCCGTGCGGCTCCTCTCTTCCCTTCTCCCTCATCTCTCTTTTCTTCCCCATCTCTCTTTTTCTCAAATTCTTCACTTTCTTCCCCCAATTTCTCAATCTCCTTTCTCTATTCGATACGCTACCGCATCAATTAGTGCTTTCATTGATGAACTCATCATCACATATTTTAAAAGAAAAATCAGCTTAGCCGGCGAACTCTGATCCAGCAGCAAAATCTGCTCAATCAAACTGAATAGGTGTTGCCCCGCACCACTTTTTGTGCCACCCACAATCACAATATAAAAAAAAGGAGCAAAGGAATTGGATTGATTGTGCTCTTGCACGAACTGTCCAAATTGTTTCCAGTCCCAAATTGACTTGGCGCAAAGATTCATATGGCAGGGAACTCATCGACGGCACCATCAGAATCCGCCACCTCGTCCCTAAATGATGTTTGGTTAGCTGTTAAGGATCTCGCCCTTGAAATTCATACACTCTGCCAGGAACAAATTGCTCTCTCGAGAGGGGTTGATGATGCATTCTCTATTTTGGAAACTCGGGGGACCGTGAGTGACTCCAAAAGTGGGTTGTTTTGTCCCAACATTTTTACATAACGGCAACCTGATCCAGATTTTCCAACGTGGTTTTATAGTGTTACAGGCATTCGTCATAATGCTTGGATGTCGAACATTGAGGAACCAAAAGAAGAGCAATTGCATGAACCCGTTAAAGAAATCATATCAGTTGTGACAGTTGAGAAAGATAATATTGATCCTACAAGTGTTTCCGATGAGGTTCCTGTTATCGTTTTTGATGATTGTGCTACAGATTTCAAGGGAAACATAAGCTTGGCAAACCCGTTTGTGTTACCTAATGATGTTTCTCTACCAAGGGATTTTCCATTGACTAGCATGTTTAAAGGAGTTAGGGATCATGTTTTACTTGAGGGTGGTAGGGGGCTGCATTTTCTTTCCTTCGAGACGCCTTCCCTCATCACATTGCTTGGAGTTCTTTCTTTTCCTGGTCGAAATTCTGAGGCTTGGTCCGTAGGTGGCCAATTTCTTTTGTTCGCCGTTGCATCAACTGTTTTGAAGCTTGAATGGGATCCTCCTCCAAACATGGCATACACAGGGTCATTGCACACCTTTTGTTTTCCTACTTACACCTTGAGGACAAGGTGTGTCTCTATCGGGGTGGCAGTGATACAGAAAGATTAATTAATAATTTATATTATTTAGTTAATTAGATATTTTAATAGTTTAGTTAGATAGTTTAATTATTTTTATTTACTTTTTATTGTTGAGTGGAATTATAACACTTCTTCAAGGATTTCTTTTTGGTTCTTTACCTCGACGCTTTTATTGAACCGACAGGCTTAGGGATTAGTGTTTGCTAGGGTTAGGGTTTACCATATTCATCTATATATTGAGTTGTAATCCCATTTAGAATAGAATGAATGAAGAACAACAATATTTTCACTCCTAAACCCTAATCTCTCTCCCCTCCTCTCTAGCCGTGCGGCTCCTCTCTTCCCTTCTCCCTCATCTCTCTTTTCTTCCACATCTCTCTTTTTCTCAAATTCTTCACTTTCTTCCCCCAATTTCTCAATCTCTATTCTCTATTTGATACGTTACCGTATCATGGTCCTCCATAATTTTTTCTCTTCTAAATCAATTTCAATCAAGTAATTTATTTTTTCTTAATCTTCATGAAAAATTAAATGAAGACTTTAATTTGAGACAAAAAATATATTTTAAAAGGTACATATACAATATTGGTTCAACGACTATTGATGAGCTCACATATGTATGGAGGAATATGAATATGCAAGAAGTGTCGATTATTAGTGATGCATGGGTCGCAATTAGAATCAAGTTGTTTTTTCGTGGTCTGATTTACATGTAAAATGTAGACTTTCTCTCAATTTTCATGGCTGGCAAGTGAATTATATTTTTTTTTTGCAAAAGGCTCAACTCTTTTATGATATCAATAAAACACACTAAAGTCTATTAAATAAACATGAATTTTAGGACCATGTGGGAATTTGTTTGGAATAAGCACACGCAGAAACAACACACAATCACTAACCAACTGCAGAAAAATAAACGAAACAAGATTTAACGTAGTTCGGTCGCCAACTGCAACCTACATCCACACGGCGCAACTAAGAGGATTTTATTTCTTTATCGTTGCACACCAATTACAAGTACAATGATATCTTAAATAGAGATTAATTAAGGATATACAGTGATTAAGCCGTAAGCTTTTAGGTAGTTTCTTGCCAATTTCGTAATGACTTCCACTTAACTTACTGGCTTCCTACCAAATAGAATTCACCTTACTTACACACCCTATGAATTCGTCTTGAATTGGTGAGGAGCCTATTTTACGAGCGAACAACATACCTTAAGGTTAGGATTTGGCACTTGGCAAAGCCAGGGGGTATCCAGCAGGAATAATATCTGAGTTTGATTTTTGGAAATTGCGTTGGGATGACTTATGCTAAGTATAAAGCCTCTGAAATACCTTGTACAGACTTTACCTTTTGTCACCAATCTACGATGAAAGTCGAATTCATTTTCTTTTCAACAATCGCCTTGTCGAGTTTGAGGAGACTCTCAGGATGAGGTTTACCCTTTTTTATGAATATACTCCATCCTACTCTACTCAGTTAATATAAAAATATAAAGAAAGAAGATAAAACTTGATCAAGTAAAAATAAAAAAAGGATGGAAATGAGTGTGTTGTGGCGTCAGTGGGCGTTGTGCATTTGGCAAAAGCATAGAGTATTAATGAGTAGACCCGAGTTCGATTCTTGACAACTGCGCTAAGAGGCAATTATGCTAAACATAAGACTCTGCAAGTGCCAGCTACATGCTCTACTTTCTGTGATTAAAATCTAATTTCCCTTCTCTTAACGATTGTCCGGTCTGGTCTGAAGGGGCCTTCGGGGTGGAGCTCATCCTTTATGAAGGTGTGTTGTGGTGGCGATTCCTTCGGTGCATGTTTAAAAAAGAGTGTTTTGAAACACTCCCAACATGTACCAATAGCTAGAAGACATGTGGCTTCTTTTTCCACCTCATTTTAATGGAATATAAATTTTCAATTTTAATTCCAAGGACTGATTTGCAATTTTAAATACTCTCCCTCTAGTTTTGTTTTCTCCGTCTCTTCTGCCGTCCCCTTCAACCCTCTCCATATTAAAATTAGAGAATTTATGATTCAAGTTGGGGAGTATAAATGTATTAATGGAAGTTGATATTCTACGGACCACCAAAAGTCCAAAAAAAGAGAAAAAAACCCAAAAAATGGGGAAAAAAGAAATATACCGTAAAAAATAATAAACAAATAAAAGGTGAAGGTTAATTTTTCAGTTTCTTTCAGTTGTTTCTAGTTTCTTCTAGTTATTTCTAACTATTTTCAATTTCTTCAAATTCTTTTTACTCCTTAATCGATTACTCTAAAAACGATATATTTTTAATTTGATTACTATTTTTATTATTTTTGAAACTATATTCATGACTATAGTTTATAAATTATTTAATTTTTTTTCCATTTCAATATTTTTACAATTCATACTCATTGTTATTTTTTTCAACTTTTCAACGCGAGTAATACATTTTTGGGCAAGGTTCCCATGACGTTATGTCATGGGATGACCCGGGGCCGCTGCGGTGCTCCTTTTGTAAAATTGACGGTTCCTACCCCCTAACCCCCCGATAAAACCCACCCACCCCGCCCTAACCCGAACACACCCCCCACCCCCTCCAATTGCACCCACAAGTTGATTTTGACTTTGGAGTCAAAATTTGACTCCAAAGTCAAAATCAACTTGTGGGTGCAATTGGAGGGGGTGGGGGTGTGTTCGGGTTGGGGCGGGTTGGGGAGGTTTACTGGGGGATTAGGGGGATAGGAACCTTGAATTTTATGAACGGGACACCGGAGCGGCCCCGGGTCATCACATGACATTGCCGGGCAATGTCATGGTAGCCTTGGTGTACATTTTTTTTGTATATTAATCTACGTGATAAAATAGGAAAACATGAATATTTTAAACTATATTAAAAAAATTATAGATAAAATAGTTACATCAATATGAAAATTTCAATATATATAAGAAAAACATCAATATTTCGATCTAAAAAATAATAATGGAATGAGGGAGTACCACTATACATTATGAAAACCAAGGAAGAACTACATTTTGAAAAAGAAAAAAACAAACTAGACAGTGTAAAAAATTTTAAAAGTAAAAATAATTTTGAGAAAAAGATAAAAATAAGAGTAAAACGTAAAAAAAGTATATTTATTTACATTATGTAATATGTCTGATATTTAAGACAAAATCATATAGATTATTATACAAAAAATGTATTACTCACATTAAAAAGTTGAAAAAAATAACAATGAGTATGAATTGTAAAAATATTGAAATGAAAAAAAATGGAATAATTTATAAACTATAGATATAAATATAATGGTTTCAATAATAATAAAAATAGTAATCAAATTAAAAATATATCGTTTTTAGAGTAATTGGTTGAGGAGTAAAAAGAGTTTGGAAAAATTGAGAATAATTGAAAATAACTGGAAGAAACTGGAAACAACTGAAAGAAACTAGAAGGACGGGAAGAAATCGGAAAAATAGAAAGAACTCGAAAAAACTAGTTGAGAGTTTAAATCATAAAGAACAGACTCTAAAGAGGTAAGCGTGAATTAAAAATTAAAAGGTAAAAAATTTCTACTATTGCTTTAAAAAAGAAAAGAATTATCTGACCAAATCTCACCTTTAAACAATCCATTAAAAAAAATATCTTTTTTCAATGTTATGCATAATTATCTCAATTTTTGAGGTATCAATGTCTTAGTGATTTTTTTTTTTAAAATATTTTGCGTAAATAAGATATTCTCTTTTTTATTTTTTATTTCTTAATTGAGTAAATTCTATAATTGGTCCTTTATAACATGGAGGTTTCCCTATTTAATCATCTATTATCAAATATTACCCCAGTGGTCCTTCATTTAAGGATATCTTTCCACAAATAGTCCTTTTTTTTATCTTCTATCATGTTGGTGTTAATTTGAGTGCTAAAAGTGTAATTTCACAATGATAATATATTTTTTTGGTCATACACAATTCCAAAGGTTGTTTCGTTTGCGTCATTTGTGAATTACAGTCGCTTTCTAGTACAACCATAGTCTACAAATGTGATCTTTTGTCAGAATCCTAGCCCACAATCATAGTCATTATTTTTGTGTTATCCGCTTAACCAATATCAGAACACGTCACTAGACATAATGTTGATGTTAAATTATACTTTTAGCCTTTAAATTAACACCAACACGGTAGAAGATCAAAAAAAGGATCATTTATGGAAAGGTACCCTTAATTAAAGGACTACGGTGGTAATATTTGATAATAAAGGACTAAATATGAAAACCCCCTGTTATAAAGGACCAATTATGAAATTTACTCTTTTTAATTTTGACTTAACTCACGTAAGAGTAATATTATTATAGATAATTTTTGAAAAAATTGCATAAAAGTAGAGTTATTTTAAATAATTTTCCTTAAAAAAATTAATCCTTCACTTTTTATTTGTTTTTTATTTTTTACGGTATATTTCTTTTTTCCCCATTTTTTGGGTTTTTTTTCCTCTTTTTTTGGACTTTTGGTAATCCGTAGAATATCAACTTCCATTAATACATTTATACTCCCCAACTCAAATCATAAATTCTCTAATTTTAATATGGAGACTGGAGAGGGTTGAAGGGGACGGCAGAAGAGACGGAGAAAACAAAACTAGAGGGAGAGTATTTAAAATTGCAAATCAGTCCTTGGGATTAAAACTGAAAATTTATATTCCATTAAAATGAGGTGGAAAAAGAAGCCACATGTCTTCTAGCTATTGGTACATGTTGGGAGTGTTTCAAAATACTCTTTTTTAAACATGCACCAAAGGAATCGCCTGTTGGGGTACGAGAGTCACACTTGGCTATACCTTATTGGCCATAGATTATTTTGATGATTGGATAAGATAAGAAATTGGATTGCTTTTCTATGAGTCACACTTTTTCCACCTTCTCCTTTTTCAACCGACCAAACTTCCCCAAAATCTCTCCAATCCCAAATACTCCCCAAGCACTCCGATCTACCCATGGCTTCCATGACTATCACACCCGCATATTTCGGAGGCTCAGCCGCCGTCTCCAAGGGCCCCACCGCCCTCCGCCGCGGGGTCGTACCCGTCAGGGCAACGAAGGAGGCGTCGAACGCCGCCGCCGAAGAGATCGGAAAGGGGAGGAGGGATTTGGTCTTCGCCGCCGCTGCCGCGGCGGCGTGGTCGGTGGTGAAGGCGGCGGCGGCGGAGGAGGAGCCGAAGCCCGGGACGGCGGAGGCGAAGAAGAAGTACGCTCCGATTTGTGTGACAATGCCCACCGCCAAGATTTGCCGCAAGTGAGAAACCTAATTATTATTTAGACCGCTCTTCTCTTCCTCCGTATGTTGTTGTAATTGGGTTCATAACAATGGCTGTAAAACCTTTGCCTTTTTTTATTCAAAAAACAAAATCTATTTTATTAGGTTAATCTTCTTTTTAAATTGCTAAATTCTTAAGTGGACCTAAAATGCATCAAAGTTTTCATGAACTAGCATAGCTTCATAATAATTTTCTGATTATGATAAGTTTTTGCTACATCCGTCCTAAAGTGCTCTTCCCGTGCATGTTTACCAGGTTTGATAGATCTTATTTTCAATTTAATTTATTTGACTTTAGTGGTAAAATTAGAAAATAAAATGTATATATTTAAAAACTAAATCAAAAGTTCTATAAAGAAGAGGTGACAAGATTGTATTATTTTACTCCGTATCAAATAACTAACAAAAATAGGTAAAGAAAGTGATTAGAGTTTGACCGTATGAATAATAATGAGAAGAATGGAGGGAGTATTTAATTTACTTTTGAGTGTTGCTAAATTTACTTCCCTACATGCACTCCAATCATAGTTAAATGGACCATTTTTCCCTTAAAAAATCTTTATGGGCAAATTTGTCCATTTAACACAAGAAGTCAAGAATAGAAACAAAAGGCACAAATAATAATACTAGCAAATCCTTCTTCCATTCCACAATAAGAGGAACTCCAAGGTGTAGTGTATATTGTAAAATATACACTATATATAATTTAATGTTGTCTTTTCAACACTCCAATGGATATTTTAAACCAAGTGTTAAAATGCAATGTAGTGTAAAAAGCAATCTTCAAAGTGTATTTTTAAAAGTTCACTATAGATAGTGGAAAGAATAAAAAATTAATTTTCTTCATTTTTTTCCTTCCCTCTTCTCCATTTTGATATGTACAAGGTATTTATTACGTCTTTTTTAAAAAATTATTAAAAATAAGTAACTTAAAACAATAAATTATTATAAAAAGTGTATTATATAGAAAATATGGTTGGAGTAAGTATAAAAAAATGGAAATGTAAAACACTATTGATAGTGTAAAATGAAATTTACATTACTAATTTTTACACTACACCTTGGAGATGCTCTAAGAGTGTATTAGATTTTGAATAAATGTAAACATATTTTAATCTACATCCATTCAGAATTCAATGATTCCACGGACCCTTGAAAGACCATTATTATGGAATAGAAGGGATTAGACTTGAAGCTTAGAAAACTCACATGTTCTATAGACTATGCAAAAATATACTAGTATAACCTATAAAGACTCAAGTGTCCATAGAAGATCAAATTGGATTGTACAAAAAAAAGAGGATAACAATGGAATAATAGCCACCACAATAATAATGGGAAAATGGATGGAAGAAAAAATAAAGAATAATTGTTGAAGAATACATATACTCTTTATCCAATAATTCATAGAAAATGGAGAATCACATCATCATCCTCCGGTGGCCATAGCCATACCCCCACGGCGGCGGCGGCGGACGCTGCGGGAATCCATACTGCGGATGCATCGGGTACCCCCCGCTGCCGCCGCTACCGTAGAATCCCACGGGCACAGGCGGCGGAACGACGGGCCCCGCCGCCTGATCGACACTCTTCAAATAATGGTCGTGGAACGCGCAATCCGACTGCGTGCACTCCTTCGGAGCGCACGCGGGACCCGCCACGTAGCTCTCCCGGACGTGTCCGGGATAGCTCTCGCGGGCCCCGCCGCCCTCGTCCTCGCCGCCCCAGAGCCTGCACTCGGGGCGGCGAGGGCCGGGCTTGGGAGCTGAGGAATTGAAGTGTTTGGGGAGAGGGGTTTTTTTACCCCCACGGTAAATGTTGTGGGTGTAATCCGGGGTTTGGTTATCCTCGTCGGGGAGGTCGGGTTTGCGGTAGTAAATGATTTCACCTTCTTCGCCCTTAAGTTGTAGGGCATGTAGGAGCCCCACGGGGTCTGCGTCTCCTCTGATTAGGACAAAGTTCTTCTCTCTGATTAGGCCAACGTCCTTTACTCCTAACACAATAATCAATTTAAGATGTGTTAGTGGTAAATTCAAGGAATTACTGCATATTCTTACATCATTGCTGATTCTTTAACCGTGGTGAATTCTAATAAGGTTATGTAAGGCCTACCATTTTAGCTGATATTGATCCTTCACCAATGGTTTTTTGTCAATATATGCTTTGTTAGAGTCATGTTAAAGTCAATATTAGAGTCTTTTTGGTTATAATGAAAGGTACGGATTCAAAATTTTAGCTTCAAATCCCTTACTTTCTCTCCAAATCAATCCCTCCAAACCGGGGGTTTCTCATTCTCTCCGCTCTTCTTCTTGGTCTTTTGTCAATTTACTCTTCATCTTGCCATTAAAAATTAAATTTAAATAATACGGAGTATTAATAATAAATAAAATTAAAAATAAAATCAAAATAAAATAATTAAATGAATTAAATAATAAAACTATTAAATTATACGGAGTATAAAAATAATACTAATAAACTAAATTACAAATAAAAATTAATAATTGTAAATTGTAAATTGTAAATTACAAACAAATAAATAATAGTAATAATAATAGTAATAATTTAAACCATTATTGTTATAGTAATATTAATAAAAATTATAATAAGAATAATAATAATAATAGTAGTAACAATAATAATAACTATAATATGAATAATAATAATAATAATAAACAAAGTTAATATATAAATAAAATTAATTCAATTAAATAAGAAATAAATAAATAATGAATAAATCATAAAATGAAAAATCGAAAATTTAAAAATAAAAATAAAAATTAATGCTTTCTTTTCCTTCTAACCAAACAAGATAAAGGGAACCCCTTCAATTCCTTCACATTACCTCCCATCCTTTTCTTCCTCTCCCTCTCAACCAAACGGGCTCTAAGCATTTTTAAAGTTAGTTTACACTATCAAAATTTTATTTCAGACGTTAATGCTAATTGAAAATGATATTCGCAAACAAAGTCATATTTAATTTTCTATTCAATTGTTTTTTAAAAAGATTATCTATATCCTCAAATTGCCTTGACTAAGTTTTCAAATTTATACTGCAAGAAGGGATCTCATAACTTAAACACAATAAAATTACCGAGTATTAAATTTTGGAATCCTTACTTTAAAACTCAAATCCTTACCATAATCTTCTAACTTTAATACGAATTATGCTAAGGTGAAACACTATTGTTTTTATTCTCTGATAGATCCTTCTAATTGAATTCTTTCAACGAAATTATTTTTGCTATTAAAAAAATAAAATTGACGAGATTATTAAAGCTTAAATTACAAACACATTATACACCATATAATTTTTTAATTAAAAAATCAATTTAAAATAGGACATTTTGCAAATTCGTCTACCAACAACTACTCCGGACCATTTTGCTGTGAGAAAAATAAGAGAAACCTTTTTATTTTCAATTCATTTCATTCCGAATTTTAATAAATTAAGAAGGTGAGAATTACCATCGATTTTTAAGAAAAACTTCCTCAATTTTGAAGAACAATCATCACACGTACAAACGCTTACTTTCAATATACAATCCTGCAACGTGTATAATTAACGTTAGAACTTCAATAATCGACGCTACAAATTAACTTTACAAACCTTATAATCTAAATTTAAACCTTAAAACATGTTAAAAATTAAACTTAAGGAACTCCTAGGGAATGAATTGAAGACAACTTCAATCAATTTTAATCCATACTCACACTATGGTTTGAACATGTGACCTCTGGTTTAAGAATGACGTAATTAAGCCACATATTTGTAATCCGGAGAGCTTCCCATGATATTGGAACTCCATATCATGGGATGATTCGGGAGCGCCACAGTTTCCCGTTCGTAAAACTGACGGTTTCTACCCTCTAACCCTACCCCACCCTGAAACGAACACAACTCCCAGCTCTTCAATTGTACTTTCCAAGTTAAATTTGACTTTGTAGTCAAAATTGACTCCAAAGTCAAAATTAATTTGGGGGTGCAATTAAAGAAGGTGGGGTGTGTTCGGATCGTGACGGAGTGAGGGTTTACCGAGAGATTAGGGGGGTAAAAATCATCAATTTTACGGACGGAGTACCAAGTCGTTCCGAATCATCCCATGACATTGTCGGATAATGGAAATATCCCTGTTCATAAACCATGATTAAACCCTAGACAAGGGAATGCACTTGTCTTGACACAACATGTCAAAAACAATATAGTACGAGTACAATTTCACATATATCTCCAAAATTATATTGTTCTTAATTATTGTTTGGGGGATTAGAATTAATCATCATATTGTAAATTATCAAAAAAATCACATTAGTAAACGATAGAAAATTACCGGTTCGGGCACATGATTTTCCATCTTGAATTGCTTCAATGAAATCAAGAAATATGATACTCCTACTAGCAAATCATCATGAAAAACCTACCTGTAATTATAATAAAATAAATAAATAAAAGTAAATTGATATTCATAACAAAATCAAGATCAATAATAGCAATTTAAATTAGCTAATTACCACTGGTGAGAGGGGCTCACGAACTACGGACTATTTTTTCAACAATTTCCCGTAAATAATTAGACGATTTTTTATTTTTTATTTATAAAGTAGAGCTTGATAATTTTCCTTATATCTAATATAAAAACGAAAGAAAAGGAAAGAAAAAATGGCGAGTATCTCAATTCAAGGAGAGTATATACTATTATGTATAGTAAGTTTTATAAGCACCAGCAATAATGAAAAAAATGTATTTAAAAAAAGGTGAATTAAGGAAAAATAAAATGAAAAAATAAAAACTAAAAAGAAAAAAAATATGATAAAAAATGGATGGAAGTGTAAAACAATCTTTTTTTTAGAATAAAACAATATTTTTGTTCATGGCTTCCTCTTAAAAGCACTCAATTTATTCCAATTTTTACGAATCATTAATATTATGTAATACTCCGTATATATACATTTAAATCTCTCCCTATGTTTAATTTTATATGGCTGTCATTGATAATTAATACTCTGTAATAGTGTTTAATTTGCTTGAATTTTTTACAACTTGGTCATTGATTTAGTTTCCATAATCAAACTACAAATTAAATAATTAAAGTACTACCATAACGTGTTCTAAAATATGAGTGATAAGTCTTCGTCCCTAGGTCCGTATTTAAAATATGAACCATAAAGACTTACTTTCTTTATGTTACAAATGCATTAAAATTCATACAATAAGCATGTGCATTAAGTCTACAAAAGAATTTAGCCTAAAAAATGTACCAACTAGGCAACCACACCCATAGTGATAGTGGCTCAATTTTGGAAACAATGATTATTGTAATTATTATAAATAGTTTTTTAAAAATTAGGGAGAAGTCCCTAGATAAGTGTAAAAGACTATGAAAATAATAAAATATGAATAAAAAAATTTTAAGACTAAAATAGGAGTTCACACTGTCGTCGTTATACTACCACACTCACCACATTGTCACAATATAACTGTCACACTATTACCGTCATACTTCCATCTTTCGGTGCATGCCGACCACCAGAATGCCGCCATGGATTGATGACGGTTGACTGATCACCTGACATATTACACCATCGTCACTTTTCATATACTTCTTTATTCATATCCAGAGAGATTTCTCTAAAAATTGCATATTCGCATTTTTTAATGTTATTAACTCGATTATAATGTGATATATGTTCATAGTTTTTTCAACTTAATAACACGCAAAGAGATGTAAATAATACTTTTAAAATATAAAAATTAAACGTTAAAGATAATGGACTTGTTTGGGAACAACTAGCATTTTCGAACAATGTTTGCAATTTGGATAAAATTTTAACGGTATAGATTAATTACAAAATACGCTAACGCTAAAGGCAACCGTCAAATAGCTTTTTTAAATTAAAGCACTAATACTAACCTCTAACGCTGAAGCCAAACAGGTTAAATGTTAGATCTACGGAGCAAATGCATGATATATGGCATATATTACTTTTTGTTTTAAGATGGCAACTTTTTGTGGGACGGACATTAAGGGATGAAATTTTTTCGAAACAGAACAAACTTTTTGGGATGGAGGAAGTTTATAAAAGTTAATATATATTTCAAAAAAAAATTTCAAAAATGAATTAATTGATCTTAAATTTATATTATCACTAAGAACCATCACAGTAGATTTTTTCAAAGATTTTAATTTCAAATTTAAGAGAATCATATCATATCATATCTTCAAAATTTTAAATTTTCAAACTAAATAACTAATAGAGTAGTAGTATCATATCAATCTTTTTTTGGCTCCGTTTAGCATCAGCGTTAGAGATTAGCGTTAGCGTTTTGAAAAGGCTATCTGACGGTATGGTAGCCTTTAGCGTTAGGGTTTTCAAAATTAATCTACACCATTAAAATTTTATCCAAAACGCTGAAACTAATCGAAAACGTTATTCCCAAACAAGACCTTTAACTCACAAATAGAGCCCTAAAATATTAGGTATTTAAAAATAAAAATTTAAATACATAAACAATAAATTTGGGCATTTTGTGTGTGGGTGTTTTGTTTGTGAATTGTGACCCTATCATATTTCCGTTTGTTTCTTGTGTTGCCTTCTAAATTACCGGCGGGAATGCGCCATCATCACAATTGTTCGCCCATTTTTTCTGCCCTTTTCCTCGCTCTATTTATTGGGAAAAAAATCCAACCACATAATTTTTATAGAACAGTGTATTGATTTTCCAAAAATACCTTTATTGTAATGATAAAAATATGATATGGTAAGTAGATTATTAGTAAAAGAAAATGATGCGATAGATATTGAATAAAAATTAATAGAGGCAAAAGTGAGTTTTTTATAGAAAATAAAAATATTTTTTTAGGACGAATGAAAAGACAAAGAAGAATAATTTTAATATATATACATGGAGTACATTCCTGGATCCGAGACACCTTATTTTTGCGGCAAATTCTATGGTGGACTTTAGTTCCACCATGGACCTACGTATGAGTAAAATAAACATTTTCTTATTTTTTAAATAAGCATCTGTTTTTAATTAAAAAAATTAAAAAAAATTTCTGAGAATGTCCACATAAATGGTATGCACCCAAGATGAATCAAAGAAAAATTCTATTTTCACGGAGTACAATTTTTTTAAATAATGTGATCGAACAATACCAATATATTTAAAGATCTTCATAATCAAATTACTATAAAAATCCATTTACTACACGAAATTGACATAATTGGAATTTATTAGACTTGAAATTCTATGAAATTGATTTGGATGAAATTGAACTCTCACATTCCAATTCATTTTTGTCACTACAAACTCCAAATTCATAATATAAATTCAGCGTACCAAACGGAGCCTAAATACTTTCCAAAAAAATTTGTTATCAATATAATAGTAATAATGCTATTGTGAGAAATATTGGGAACCACATAATCATTATTTCTTACTAAAAAGGAAATAAAATAGGTGTGTGATTTTTTTTCCCTATATATATACACACTACCTATATGGGTAAAACTTCCATAATCACATGTAACTCACGAATTTGATAATTTTGGGGGCAGAAAAATAAAATTCTAAAGAAATGGGCAATCCATCGCCTTTATCCCTCTTCTGCATCCTCTTCTTGCTGCTTGCATGCGGATCTGGTATATTATTTTTTTAATTTACTCCTCCATTTTTATTTTTATATATATGAATGAAATTCCGATCCTGATATTAATGTTTATCATCAAATTAGAATATATTTTCTCTTATTCCATGGTATAGTTTTGCATTATATATTGGCATTCTTATTTTTGGTAAGGGATATATATATATATATATATATATATATATATATATATATATATATATATGATATATCATGTATGTATGTATTATAAATGATGAATTGAAAACTAGTGTACATTATTGCATGATGAAGGGAGCGTGAGGAGCAAAAAGATATGCGTGTTCGATATAGGGGCATGCAAGGAATTGCCATGCTCCGCCGGAGAAGACGCCGATGAAGACGTCTGCTGCGTCAAGACTTGCAAGGAGCAGTTTAACGGCACCGGCGAGTGTGGATACCGCGGTTGGGTCAGACGCCTTTGCCTCTGCCACCTCCCTCACTGCAGCAAATAATCATCATATTCATTCCTTCTTTAATCATTGTATTTGTATTAATCACAATTGTCATTTGTGAAGCTTAATTATTACTCCCTAATAAATAAATAAACCTAATTTTACTAAATTAACATTATAACTAAATATATTCTTTTATAATTTGCATTCCTAAGGTGTTACAGTTTGATCAGAGAAGTCAAACTGTGACAATCTTTTAAGGATCAAGAGAGCATTAATTTCCTTAATACAAATGAGCTACTCTCTCCGTTGAAATTAGATTACCTTGTTTCGTTGTAGGATGTTTTCAAATCAATTTATATGGAAAATGTGGTGAAATTAAAAATAAAAATTTAGACATTTCAATATTACTCCCTCCGTTTTCCAAAAGGGTTCCCCTTTTGACTTTTAGCCAAAATAAGGAACTCATATTTTGACAAAGACCTTCCCATATTACCCTCTTACTCACGTGGGGTACATAGCAAAAGTGGGCAAATGTGAGAATAAAATAATGAGGATAAAAATGACTAACTTGTCATGAATAGTAGAAGCATTAAATGACTCCACCAAAACCCTTTGCATTTCACACGGCAACCATAACAAAAGAGGGAAAGATTACAAATTTTTTGTTTGGGAAAAAATTTAAAAAGCCCTCCAAATATTTCAACCTAATACTACCACTTCTCAATATAAATACACCAAAGCATTAAATGTCTTGAATGAAAATAAATGCTCCATATAGTCTGTCTGGCTTCAAATAGCATTGATGGAACCGTCACCTCTTCCAACTTCCTCTCGTTTTGGAGATGCCAACGCCGACTCAGCCGATGTCTCCCTGCCTCCACTGTTGGAAGTACCTTTCGAGGCTTTCAACACCCCTGAAATAAACAACATCGCATGTATTTCCGGTGTGCAAGCAAGAAACGAAAGAAGGCAGCAAATAATAGAGGCAATACTACAAAATTTCAAAAACGGCAAACTTCAGCACGGGTCACTGATAACAGTGGCTAATGAATTCAACATATCTCCTCGTTGGGTCAGAGAGCTATGGAAAGCTGCAAAATCTCAAATGGCTAAGGGCCAGGCAGTGAATGTGGATTGTATGTGGGAAGGTAACTCAGGGAAAAAAGGTTTCAATTTGGACATTTCAAAGCTAACTGACATTCCATTTCACCAGCGGCAAACGCTACGTGCCCTAAGCCACTGCCTTAATGTGTCAACTAGTACAACATATAGGTTGGTGAAGAAGAAAAAAATCAGAAGACACTTCAATGCTATTAAACCTCATCTATGTGATGAAGGTTGGTTAAAAAGAGTCAGGTATTGTTTGTCATTACTTTCTCCCACATCCTTACCAAATAACCCAACATTCCATCATTGTTATGATTATATACATATTGATGAGAAGTGGTTTGAGTTGAGCAAGCCCAAAAAGACCTTATACACCTTACTTGATGAGGCAAACCCCTACAGAACCATACAGTCCAAAACACATATTCCTAAAATTATGTTTTTGGCTGCTGTAGGCCGTCATAGGTTTGGGGATGATGGTCATGTAATATGGGATGGGAAAATAGGCATATTCCCATTCACATTTCAAGAAGCTGCAAAAAGAACAAGTAAAAATAGGCCTGCTGGTACAATGGAAACAAAGCCCATTCCAAAAATAACAAGAGATGTCATGAGAGAAATGCTGGTACAGCAACTACTGCCAGCAATAAGGGAAAAATGGCCACAGAGTTCTAAGCATGTTATCATACAACAAGATAATGCCAAACCACTTGTTGATATTAATGACCCAGTTTTTGTGGCTGCTGCACAAGAGAGTGATTGGGATATTAAGTTGCAATTTCAGCCCCCCAATAGCCCAGATTTAAATGTTCTTGACCTTGGCTTCTTTAGGGCAATAGATGCTATACAAAACAAGAGTGCACACAGGTCATTGGGGGATCTCATAAATGCTGTCACAACAGCTTTTGAACAACTCACACCACAGGTTTTAAACAATGTGTTCTTAACCTATCAAGGAGTCATGGGTGAGGTGTTGAGGCATAAAGGAGGAAATAATTTCAAGATACTCACATGGGGAAGGAAAGGTTGTCCAGGGAAGGAATACTTCCACAAAACTTGGGAGTCAGTACTGAAGTGTATGAAGAGGTGCTCTAGATTTCAGAAATGAACAACTAAAGAGAAAATGGCAGAAGTTTTTTGTGTATATTTTTTTGGTAATATATGTGGTTTGCAAATGCACAATATTTTTGGTTTTTTGGTGCAAGTGTACACCACATGTAAGAAGCTTGTGATGATGTAGTACAACATGTGATATGTAAAACCATCATTATATGACTATAAAGAGTATTTTCTTTGCATTTGTATATTCACAAAACTGGTAAGGGACAGATTGCCTTAGAAAGGGACCTCAAACCAATGGGACAATTTGCCTCAGAGATCACATAGGGTACCAGACATTTAGATTTCATCATAGGCAGTAAAGAGAGGCACACATGAAAGCCATAGGAACAAACTGCCTTAGAGAGAACATAGTGCCTTAGAGAGAACATCACACATTCAAAAGCCATCTTATGCAGTAAAGAAATGGACCTCAAACTGCCTCAGAAAGCACATAGGGTACCACACATTCAGAATCCATCATATGCAGTAAAGAGAGGGACATGAAAGCTTAGAGACAAACTGCCTCAGGGAACACATAGGGTAGAACACATTTCTAATCAATCATATGTAGCAAAGAAAGGCACACAGGTCATTTAGGAACAAACAGCCTTAGAGAACTACATAGGAAACCACAGATTCAAAATCCATCATAGGCAGTAAAGAGAGGGACATGAAAGCCTAGGGAAAAACTACCTCAGGGAACACATAGGGTAGAACACATTTGTAATCCATCATAGGCAGCAAAGAAAGGCCCACAGGTCATTTAGGGACAAACTGCCTTAGAGAACCACATAGGAAACCAAAATAAGAAACCCAATTTCTGGCTTTACATTTCACACGGCAACCATAACAAAAGAGGGAAACATAATCTTCACCACACAGAAGAAATTCCACATACACATTCACTAATGCCAGACCAAACATCTAACCATAATTGACCTTTGTAAGCCTCCAAACCAAAAAATGGGGTGGCATTACAATTAGACAACTTTCATTGACGTTAAGATTAATTTTTGTTCGCATCATTAGTTTGCCCAAAAACAACATGCAAGACAGATGCGCAAAGTGTAAAGGAGAGAAGTTTAAAGGACATTACGTTGTTTATATCTTTCAATTTTGGAGGGACTTCCTACTGGCTCGGACAACAACACCTCTGTTTCTGAGCTCATTTCTCGAATCTCATCAGTGTTGAATGAAGACTCAAGATCTGATGAATCTTCTTCCAGATCTGATCCCCACTCAATTCCATCTTGGAGATGCTCACCCCCTAGGTATTTTTTTCCAGAAATTCCACGAAGGATCAGTGTCAGATGAACTTGATGGAAGCGGATCAACATGACGTTTCAAGGTAGCTATGGCTCGTTTGCGCTTGCTCAAAGATTTCTGAGTACGATGAGGCTTAGGTTGGTCCTCATCGCTATCAGAGAGCAAGCGAAATGAGGGCATGGTCAAATCTGGAGAAGAGGAAGCAGACATGAAGCTGATCCGGTTCTGAAAAAAGAAAGGTGAGGAGAGGAGAAGAATCGCTAGGGGAACGAATGGGTTTGGATAAGGTGGGATAGGGGATTGGGTAAAATTAGGTTTAGGGGTAGTTTAGGAAAAAAAAGTGAAAGAGGAAGTGTTTTAAGAAAAACGAAAAAATGAAAGAAAAAGGGTTTTGGGAAACGGAGAGAGTATATCAAAACTTCTATGAATTAAGAAATGACATGCTCTGTATTATTTTGTCAAATATATGGCAAAGATAAGTAAAGATAATAAGTAAAATCAAACACTATAAACATATAATTAATACTCCGTAGTAAACAGATACTTCGTACACTTTTAGAATTAGGACTTGGTTTTCGATTCGCCTTTCTAATTTCATTTTTCTTAATTGTACAGAGTACTTTTTATTATATAGAAAAAAGTAGCCAGAAGTACACCAATTTTTGTTTCCCAAAGCGCACATAATGTATAACTTCACAGACACTGCACAAAGACAACAATAGTCTGTACGTTGTTGTCATTACACAAATTTTCTATGTTCGAGCCTTGTCTGACCCATATAACGGGCTTAAGAAATGAAACCCGAATCGGGCCCACATTGGTAATCATGGGCTTCATGCCAGCTTGGTCTGCATGGACAACAAGTTCTAAATAATTTAAAAATATTTTTTAAATAAGACTATAATGAGTATGCCAAAGAAGTGAAAGAACGACTAATGGATAAATTGTGTTTTGGTTGATAAAGTTACTATTACTTATTTGAATATCATTATCAAATGTAACGCAAAGTAATAAAGATGTATTGATTTTTTAGTAAAGAAACCACCTTGAATCGGAGAAAAACGCGAAGACAGTTCAAAATAGGAACTTCATGGTTTTATCCTCTAAATAGGAGTTTGCACTGTAATAATGTGACACTATAAATGGATATTTTTACAATACTTTTTGATAATGTATATGGTCATGATTGACACTGTAAATATATTTTAACTCTTACTTCAAAGATAAAAACATAAAACTCCTACTTTAGTATATTTTTAACATTTTACTCCTACTCTAATCTTTTCCCTTTTTAGTATGTAGTGTACTCATTTAATATGTGTATTTATAGTAATTTGAAATATTATTATTAATTTTAATAATATTGATATTGTTATTAGCTTAAAATTCATCATTGGTTCTTCAACTTTATGAGTTGTGCACGATTGGTCCTTCAATTTTCAAAAGTCCATAAGTAATTTTTTAAGTATACGTTAGTTTTTCAGATGGGTCCATTTAATACGAGTAAATTCCACTAGTACGACTACTCCATATTATATGGAACTAGTACTCTATTTAGCTTTTAACATTTACCGTCAAAATGATCTCATCTTGAGTATTGACGTGTACTTGAAAGACTAGTTATTTACTTTTGAAACTTGAAGAACCAATCGTGCATAACTCATAAAGTTAAAGGACTATTTATGGACTTTTGAAACTTGAATACCAATTGTGCACAACTGATAAAGTTGAAAGACCAATAATGGAGTTCAAAAAAATTTAGACTTGGATGCAAACAGATTATTAAGAAGATTAATATGATCAAAATTGGAAAAAAAAGAAAATAAAATTTCAAATAAAAAAAGAGAAACATGAATGAGAACTTAAAAAAAAGGGAAACGTGGATGATGAGTTGCAGTAGGAAAGAAAAAGGAATGCTAAAATCATTGAAGATTATTGGTTATTTGATAAAATAAAATATTTTTGACACCTCTTATTTCGAAGAACTTTTCATGTACGGGTAGTTTTTTGATATGTAAATTTTATTTTTTATTTCTATACAAATATGTAAATAAAATTAATTGAAAAAACTTGATATTTTATCTCAGAAATACAAGTGTGACAAATATTTAGGGACGGAAGGAGTATACAATTTAGTAAAAAAAATACTCAGTATTTACTCCGTATTAGATAGACTGTATATACGGATTACATAGTACTTGTACTTAAGAGGTACTCTGTAGTCTGTAGTAGGTAAAGGGCAAAAAAACAAAAAAAAAAGAGTTGGTGGGACGGCGGGAGACTCATTTTTAGGCGGAACAAGAAGACCAATAAAGACTTGACCACAACCCACGGCGGTGGCGCTGCTCCATTGAGCCATGGCAATCCCGAGCGCCGCCTCCGCCAGCTTCTTCTCCAAGCCTAGAGCTCTCCATCCTTCTCCTCCCAAACTCCTCGCTCGCCGCGCCGCCATTTACCCGGACGTGGCACGATCCGCTTCCATTTCGGCCTCTTCGAACGGCCGTACTCTCAATCCTAACCGCCGTACGTTTTTGCTGCTTTCCTTTGCCGGCGGCGGCGGAGATGGGGGCACCAACGGGGGGAAATTCCCAGGCGGCGGCGGCGGTGACAGGCACGGAGACGGCGAGAGCGGCGGCCATAGCAGCAACAATCGGAAGGAGGCGCTGATGGCGCTGGCGGAGTCCGGGAGATCGCTGGAGAGCCTGCCCGGCGACTTGAAGGCGGCGATCGAGAACGGGAGGATTCCGAGATCGATTGTTTTGAGGTATTTGGAGCTCGAAAAATCAGCTTGGGTGGCGTGGCTTCTCCGATTCGGAGGCTTTAAGGAACGGCTCTTAGCCGACGATCTCTTCCTCGCTAAGGTCGCCATGGAATGGGGCGTCGGGATCTTTACCAAGGTACCCTGCTTTCTCAATCTGAAGAATATTTCTAATTGCATTTGTCTCCCCGGATTGTTCCAAATTCACATTCCTGCCCCTAAAGTTTGAAAATCTACACAAATTAGTTACTCAAGAGTGCTTCTTTTTGTTTGGTTATAGCTATGAAATTCAATGAGACAATCTTGATATATTGAAAAGTGAATGAATGTAGGCACACTTTATGTCTGCATTCATTTGTTTTTCAATGTACCAAGAATGTCTTAGTAGACAGTTAATATGGAATGGAGAGAGTAGTTTTCGTGTGAAGTTTGTTTTTTGCTTGCATTAGTAATTTATGGTTGAAAATCTGTGTCCAGACTGCTGCTGAATATGAACGCCGCAGGGAAAATTTCTTCAACGAGCTGGAAGTTGTCTTTGCAGATGTGGTAATATTTCATGTATAAAAAAAGCTAGGGGTACACGCACCAAATGTACACCAAGCTTGTCACAGACACACGGAGACATCAACTGTGTGTCTGTGCGGTCACAGACAATTATTGTCTGTGTGTCTGTGACAAATGTGGATTGTGGTGTACAATTGGTGTACCAATGTTGGTGTACCCCTAGCAAACCTCTTCATCTGTTTAATATCCATAGTGTGTATCACGACAACTATGTATAATCCGAACTCCGTTGGGATCTGTGAGGGTTCAAGATGTAGGCTTATCCTTGTTACAACAGATAGGTCGTCTCCGTTAGACCCTAGATGCATTTACTACCCATAACTTTAAGAGGGGAAGTTTTATTATGTACCCGAAACTAAAACAAAGTCAATGAGGACTCTTTTAGCTCCGCTAGGAACGAACATTTAATGAGCATCACAATGAAGAAAATATCTAGGATTGCCGGCTTTCTTTTTTGCCAAAACCAAACAAACACAATATACCCCACACAAGAGTTGGCTCTCGGAATCAAGACACAAGATGTAAGAAGACATGTCGTCCTCTGACCAGAGAGTGGAGAGCTTATTCCCAAGAGTACCCCTACAAATTGTGACATGTAATTTCAATTTCAGGTCTTCTGGACACAATGGTGAAATATCCCAGTGTTGTGCCACCCTTGCCCTTCGCTTTTCTAGAAATTAAGTTGATAATTGAATTAAAATGCATCAAAAGCATTATTTATAGAGATTGATAATGTGTGACCTCCCTGGAAGCTTGTCATATTATCTTAAAGATCCACTCTATAAAACTTTATCATCTACTAGTTATATGAAGGCTAGTGATACACTGTTATCATCTTTTAGGGGTGTGTATGCATACATTTTCAAATTTGATGGATCATGGATGACAAAGAAGGCAAAGTGTCTTTTTTTAAACAACAAAAGTTGATGGTTTAACCCGAAGGAAGATCACAAATCCTATTTATATAATCATTCCTCTACTCATTCTTCTTATATAAATCTACTTAAATAAGACTAAAACATGGAACTTATATCAAAATAAGATCTATGTTTGCACCCTAAACAGGAGTGTTGGCACCGTGGAATGCCTAATTTTGGCAATGTGTTGGCATTTTACAAAATTTTTCGGGATTATGTTTTTGCGTTATTCTGCATTATAAGTCTTATTTTGGTATAAAAACATTGACTGGATGTCCTATTTTTGTATATGGAACATGTTTTAGTCTTAGCTATGTTTTTATTTATTGAACTGAATTTCTAGAACAAATGAGTTCATATGCCCCCTCCATTGTGGTTCATCACTTCAGTCTCAACCTTATATTATGTTTTGTGGTGCTTAGGTAATGGCCATAATTGCAGATTTTATGCTCGTGTACCTTCCCGCTCCTACTGTATCTCTCCGACCTCCTATTGCACTGAATACTGGAACTCTTACTAAGTTTTTCTACAACTGTCCTGAAAATGCATTCCAGGTAACTTCTTTTCAATAAATGTTACTCTTGCTTTTTACGGAGTAGTGTTTTTTCTTTTCTGAAACATCTGATTTCTTGAAAAAAGAAGTCATAAATTTGATGATCGGCTGCATTTCTCTGATCCCAAAGAGATGGAAAAAAGTAAAAATGCCAAATTCTTTGTGTTTTTGTAGGTTGCTCTGCCTGGAACATCATTTTCATTGTTGCAGAGATTTGGTGCTATAGCAGTAAGAAACATGAATCCTAATTTAAGTTCATTTCAAAATTACCCAATGACAAGAGCTGATTGTTCTGAATTTCTTAATGGCTTTGGGAATCTTTCAGCGAAACGGCGCAAAACTCTTTGCAGTTGGCACTACTTCTTCTATGGTAAATTTATTATTATTATTATGATAAAAATTAGATTTTGGGTTTTGACTTTTTACTTCTTATGACCATGTCCTGAACCCCAAAATGGCTTGTATAGATTTTGTTTTTCATTTTTCTGATCAAGTCGTGATTAAGATCAAACCGAGTGGTATATTTGCAGGTTGGTACCCTTGTGACGAATGCACTGATAAATGCACGAAAAACTGTTGACAAGGCCTCGGCGGGGGAGGTGGAGAATGTGCCCGTGTTATCAACCAGTTTTGCATACGGTGTCTACATGGCAGTCTCTAGCAACCTTCGGTACGTGAACTTGGACGAGTATCATTAACAAGTATATAAGTATTGAGGCATTAATGCGTAATTGCTAGACCATTTCTTTTGCCACGCACATTTTCCTCGTTAAATTTGTGTTTGCAACTCCCAAGTTATGCATATTTTCAAAAAAGAAAATAGTATCTCAAAAGAGAATGAAATTATCAATTCCTTCCTCTTCATCCAAAAAAAAAAAAAAGTAACCCTTGCATTGTTTTTTATTATCAACATATCCTGTCTCCACATTCAAATAGCTTAATCAGCATGCTATCTTCTTTTTTCCCTCTATATTTCATTTTTTTTACAAAAATAATCACATAGCTGCCAAATATGTGTCTATGTTTGCACACTTAAGTGATGATGACATGGATCCTTGACATCCATATTGAAACCAACTTGCCCCAAAAATCTATGTTGCACGGATTCTTCAAATAAGTGTCGTTTTCTGTCCCTGTTTGGGCACTTGAGGATGTCTCGACACCCAAACCCTTTATGAAATTTGGAAAAGTTGGTATTTTCACGTTTTCAGCCCCCGTCCCGTAGCAACTTAGCCTACAACTTTGCTGACTGTAAGTGTTTGCCAAAAAAAAAAAAAAAACAGGTACCAAGTGTTGGCAGGAGTTATTGAACAGAGGATGCTGGAGCCTCTGCTGCACCAGCACAAGCTGGCTCTAAGTGCACTTTGCTTCGCCGTTCGGACTGGAAACACATTCTTGGGCTCATTATTGTAAAGTTCCAATCCCTGCTTCGTTAATACCTAATGCACACACACCCCCCCCCCCCACCCCGGCTAGGTTCCATGGCAACTCTCTTTGAGTGGCCATGAAAGCCACTGCCCCTCTATTGATAGATAGCTACAGTGCTCTGCTTGTAAAATGGATAGTTCGTATCCCCTAACCCCCCCGGTAAACCCCCCCACTCCACCCAGTCCCGACTGCAATTCATCTCTCACCCATGTCAATTGCATCCCGCAAGTTTAGTTGGCTTTGAGGTCAAATTTGTTGACTTCAAAGTCAACTAAACTTGCGGGGTGCAATTGACGTGGGTGAGGAGGAGATAAGTTGGGGTCGCGACTGGGTGGAGTTTTACCGGGGGAGGTTAGGGGGTAGGAACCATCAATTTTACGAATAGAGCACAGTAGCCGTTTTTTTTATGAGTCCTTATTTTTCGGGAACATTTTCATTTGGGTCACAGGTGGGTCGATTACGCACGTTGGATAGGGATTCAAAAGGCAGATGAAACTCAAAGATAAAAGGGCTTTTATATGGGATAAATAAAGGTTAGGTTTCATTAATGGATGCATCCCCCTCAAAATTAGCTGACTTTTCATTTAAACAGATTTGATTGGAATTAGGTAGTTGATGTACTGTGGCATTTTTAGGAATCATTTTTTTAGTTTTTTTTTTAAAATTTATTCCTTTCATTTGATATTCGGTGAGAATTTTGTAAATAAAAAAAAAGCGAAAGCTTCTTTAGTCCCGTTGTATTTTTTTCGGTACTATGTATTGGTGTTCGTTTCGCCGTTTGTTTTAAGATAGAAAAATTAGCGTTTTCTTCGAAGTCTCTATCTTCTTTTTTTGTCGTGGTAAATTAAAATGTGTGAAAACTAACATGTTGAGTTAAAAATACTCTCAGAAAAACTGTCCATAGCATTGACATTTTGAAGACTATTAGCTGTATAAATAGTTTTAGGGAGTAATTTTTTTATAGCAATTTACTAAATTAAGAAGTGTCCTTTATGAACAGCAAACTTAATTGCTGGGTAGTTAGTAGCTAAACACGTTAATACAAGTACAAATTTTCATCTGTCAAAGTGGTCCTAAAACTCTTATTTGTCAACGGTTATCATTATTGTCGTGGGATCCTAAGAGATGTCCATTGTTCAAACATTTTTTTATTACAAAAAAAAAAACGGGACCCATCACCGAAAGTCTCCTCAGTACTGGTCGGACGGTCATTTTAGAAGAGTTAATTCGAGTTTTTATGACAAAATGACCTGTAAAAGATGAAAGTTATATATGATACTTGCAGATATCCTATACAAAGTACTTAGAAGGTGTTTGAAAATAGTTTGAGCTTCTATATCAATGAAAAACAATTTTAAGTGTTTTTCAATAAGCTTTAGATTATGGACTTGACTTTAGACATGTAAATTGTGCGCGCTCGAGAAGTACGTCTCGCCAAAATTCAAGATAACTCTTTTCAACCGTTGATTTAGCACACCTGCTTCCGCAAGACTCACTGCACTCGTCCATCGCAGATCATGTTTTTTTATTACAAGTCGTACCGATGAAACTATTGTCACATACTCATATTTTCCAATGGTCCTATCTTTGTCTAAAACATCTCATGTAACAATTTTTTTCTATGACAATGATGAAAATTGACAATCCCATAGTTCCTATAGATATGTATATGTATATATATCAAGCTAGGCGATCACCTCGTCTACCTTGCAACTTCTCAGCTTCATTGATGCCCTCGTTCTACTCACTCGAACTATGTTACAGCATTCACTTCTATCAATCTGAAACAAAACAAAACCATATGGTGTCAAAAAAATAGTTTCATAGGGATTCAACTTGCATGTGAAACTTTAATTTTTTTAACGGGGAATTTACGTAAACAACACTAAAACATAATGACTTTCCCTAAATAGCATCACATGTGTTTTTTCCCGAATGTTGCACTTTTAGTCATTATCAATTAGTCATTATTCAAATAAATGTTTGCCATCGCTCGACATTATGAACATAATTAAGTGTTATTTAGAGAATAAAACAGTTTAAGTGCTATTTTGGGAAATGACTTAAGTTTTAGTGCTATTTAGTGCATATATTGCTTTTTTAACTAGATGGCATTAAATTTTGAACCCGTGATCTTTAAGTCGAGAAAGCTCTGATACCATGTTAGGAAACCAACTTAATCGAAAGCTGGCAGGGGAAAGGTTTTTTATGTTACAATAGAAATGATCACAAACCTGCAATCGTCTTTTGGCCGGAGAGATGACTTGAATCCGGGAGATTTGGTCGGCGGAGCGATTCCCATAGGCCAAACACGGCCCCAACCCCCGCTTCCACGACCGGTAATACGTCGTGAGGATCTCATTCCTGGGGGCCAGTTTCTTCACGTTCCTGAGGAAGAAGAAATGGGGCGCCTCGCAGGGGTCGCCGGAGCGCGGCCGGACGTCGAACATCCAGAACGGGGGGCTGGTGCTCTCGCCCCACGTCAGGAACGTCTCGATCGGCTTCTGGAGGTAGCTCCGGGGCATCCTCCGCTCGTATATCTGAGCGGAGTATCCCCACGAGAGGGAGAAGGACCAGTTTAGAGGACGGTGGTAGCAAATCACCTGCTGCATCATCCTCGTCTGGTCCAACCTCGCCGGCTTCATTATCCGCCGCGCCGCCTCCGCCCGGTCCACGAAGGGGAAGATGGGGTCCGCCATGTCGAAGTGGTGGAGGGACATTAACGGCACGTTTGGATGGTACGATAGGAAGCCGGATATGTCTCCTCGCATGTCCAACTGCAACAACACATTAAAGAGGAATTTCTTTAGATAGCACTAAAACATAATGACTTTCCTAAATAGCATCACATGTGTTTTTTTTTCCAATGTTGCACTTTTAGTCATTATTCAAGTAAATGTTCGATATCACTGGACATTATGGACATTATTAAGTGTTATTTAGGGAATAAAATAGTTTAAGTGCTATTTAGGGAAATGACTTAAGTTTTAGTGCTATTTAATGTAAATATTTCTTAAAGTTTTTGTCAAGCTTTAGAACATCTGATTTCAAGTTTGAATTTTTGGTTGAATTTCTCGGAACCAAACCTGGTGAAAACCTCTATGGGGAGAAATGTTAACTCCGAGGTCGGCGACGCAGGACATGGTGGTCTTGTCGGCGCTGGTCAAGAAAGAATACCTCTTGAGGCAATCCATAATGGTGTCGGAGAGAGCCTTAGCGAGGGGGAAGCTCAGGAGGAAGCCGGCGCCGCCGAAGGCCTGGTTGAAGGAGAACCAGTAGTTGGAGAGGACGAACTCGGAGTGGGCGCCGATGTAGTAGTGCTTGGTGTGGTCGTACCCGGCGACGAGGTCGACGAGGTTGTCCACCATGAGCACGGTGTCGTCGTCCCCCATCACCACCCACCTCACCCCCTCCTCCCCCGCCGCCTCCCTCACGATCTCCCGTATCCCGTGCACCATCCTCGCCACCCTCCGGTCCACGTGCCCCGTCTCCTCCACCACCCGCGTCACGTTCTCCGACACCCTGTACGGCGGGGACCGCGGGGACCACGGGAGCAGGTCCCCCGCGGGCTCCGCGTCCAGGAGGAGCCGCCCCCGCGTCTCGTTCGGCCGCCACCACGCCTCCACGTACGCCCTCCGGTGGTGCCACGCCGACTCCGACCCCACCAGGCCGAACATCAGGTGCTTCAGCCTGGTGGGCCCGTTCGCGTCCTCCCCCTCCCCGGCGGAGGCGGCGGGGGCAGTGCTGTCGTTGGCCGGGGAAATGACCGTTCCTGCCCCTGCCGCCGCCGCCGCCAGAGACGGCGCCAGGTTGGATTTGGAGACGACGTCGGAGGCGAAATCGGAGGGGCAGTTGCGGATGTTGGGGACGAGGACGATGCCGAGGAAGAAGACGACGCCGGAGATCAGCAACGCCTTGCTGAGGGTAATGATGAGAGAAGTTCCGGTGGAAGGGATGGGAGAAGGGGGCGGAGAGGAAGAAGAAGAAGAAGACATCTTGGAAAAGAAGAGAGGTGATTTGGAACCATGTAATGAAACACAACAACAAAAGTCAACCAGATCCTGGGATATCGTTGTAATTTGTCTGTTTTATTTTACAAATTTTTAATTTTACATGTTTTTTTTTTTGGTTTAAATTTTTTTCTTCTTGTCCAAGCTGGTTGATCTATCAGAAAAAAGATGTGTTAGAAATGGTAGTTGGTTCAGGTAATGTTTGTGGTAGTTCTTGGGAATTCATTGGTTACTTTGACCGGATCAACTAATACTACTAATCCTTTATTAATTCCTTTATAAGTAAGGTTCTAATAGAGCTAACAAAGAGGTCGATCGAGTCGAATTTGAATTTTTTTCAATTGTACCATCGGATTTGGATTTGATCTAATGAGTTATGAGCGTTTAAATTGATGATAGTACTTGCATTTTGTATTTAAAAAATAAAAAAAAATCAATTGTATATTGAAGCTATGTTAACAATTTTTTGAACTTTTAATTAATTTTTAGGTGTATACGATTCCATTTATATTATAAATAAATATAAAAATAATCAAAATATATACCATATGTATTATTTTTGAGAAATATTAAGATAATAACACGATATCATTGAAAAAAATGCGTTTGAAAATATGTGTATACACACAAAAAAAGAGTAATAAAAAGTAATTGGTTTTTTTACGTCATTGACCCCTAATTTCTTCAAAAATTGAATGAATTTCCCTTGAAGTATAAAAATTGCACCAATGCCTCTAGAACTTTTAAGTGTTACATCAATGGCCCTTCTACGCCATATTTGGAGTGTGTTAATCACATGCTTATCTAGTGCAAGTATGGATTCACCTAAAATTATATATCACACACGGGTTTTGTAATATGCCCTTCCCGTACATTATCTTCTACGGAGTATAATTTTAATCACTCTAAACCCTAGATAATTATTCTCGATTTAATTGTGAGTAACCAAAGTTGAAGGCCGGACATCAATCGATCAACCTCTTCATCAAACTTCGACATGTATATTGATGAACATGTGATTAACGTACTCCAAATCTGGCGTAGAGAGACAATTAGTGCAATACTTATAAAAGTTCATGAGGCTTTGGTGCAATTTTTGAAATTCATGGGAATCCGTATAAACTTTAAAAAGTTCAATTGTAAACAATGCAAAAAACTCAAAAAATAATTACGGAGTATTGCTAGTAAGTACAGAGTACTTGATTTAAGAAGAAATCATACCTTGGCACGTCGATATGGTTGGGTTTGATCCATATTTGGTGGGTCATTTCGGGTTCAGTCTATAAAATCTTTGTTCAAATCAAATATTTTAGACTTAAGTATCAAGTCAAACACATGGGGTCTCCGCATATGCACATTTATAAGTTATACCATACTTCTTTTAAACATTTATATTTTTAGACGTGATGCACATTATAAAACTGTCACAGTTCGAGTGATAGTGGGTATCGCTGACACTGCGGTGTCATGCCGTTTTGGGGCACCTAGGATGAGAAGTTCATTAAATGCTCATTTTCAAATCAAAATATACTTCTTCCGTCTCATAAAGTTTTTCCCTAATTGACTTTTAAAGAATTTAAGAAATTGATATTTTTGTTTTGACTTTCTAAAATTACCCCTGATGTGATGAATATATTATTAGTAAAAAATATGATGTGATAGAGAGAGTAAGAATTAGTAGGGATAAAAGTAATTTTTTAATAAAAAAGGAAAAAAATTGTGGGACAAGAAATAGAAAAGGGAAAAATAATTTAAAAGACGGAGGAGTAGAGTTTTGATTTCGCTGCTAGTACGGAGTAATACTTATCATTCATAAAAGTTTGTTCTATTCAACTTATTCTTAATACACATGGTTTATTTTTAGAGAAATGCTAGAGTAACAAACCTTTCAGTCACAAAATATACAAACTTACCATTTATGTATTTTAATGTTTACTTTTTAATTATTCAACATCATTTTATTCATTTAGTGAGGTACACAAATGGTAAGTTTGTGTATTTTGTGACCGAAGTGTTTGTGACTCTAGCATTTCTCCTATTTTTATTAGAATAAGTTCAAATCAAATCATATACGAATTTCCAATCAGAGGAAGAAAACAAGGCAAATATATAGGCGGAAGTACATGGCAGTCAATTAAGCGTGGGCTAGCATCCAGGCGGGAATTGTTAAAGCATGACTGTGTGTGTTTTTCATTTTTCAAAGATGCACATGTTATTTGTGCAAATTAGAAATTATTTAAGTGCTTTTTTTAAAGGACTGCGTTGGAAATAATTGTTTATTAGTAGCCTCTCACTTAATTTTAAAACAATTATTTTAAGACATACTACGTATTTATAATTTAGATAATAGAGAGCATCAAATTTTTTTTATTTAATTGTCATTTAATAGGTACTTTGGATAAAGGACTATTTACAAAATATGTCTCGATTATAAATGAGCATATAACTAATTTGTGCTTATGAAGGATTACTTTGGAAAAAACCTTATTAAAAAGAACTATTTTAAGAATTCACTAGAAATATTTTGTCATATTTGGTGAAAAAGACTATTTGTGGAATAATAGTTTTCAAATATTGAGGGCTATTTATGGAATATCTTATAATTAGAAACTAAATATGGAAAACTACATATAATTGAAGACCATTTATGAAATTTAATCTATATTCAAATCGCCTCTTGTTTTATATTATAGACTATTTAATGTAATCCCTTCGTCCCAAAAAAAATTTTACAATTTCACTTTTTTGATCAAAATGTGTAACACTTTAAACATAGATTCAATATAATTCTAAAAAATTTAATGTTATAAAAATTGATATATCAAAACTGTATTTTAAAGTGAACCCAATTTTCCTAATTTTATATTTTAAGTAATATATTTTTTTCCACAATTTATAATCAAAGTTTAAACAATTTGACAAAAAATGTCAAACTGTGGTAATTTTTATGAAGAGAGAAAGTAATTTTTAAACACATTCAGAGTAATTTATGGGAGTAAATTTTAAAATATTATATCAATATGTAAATAAATTCAATTGAGAACTATGGTAATTTGAAACGGAACATGTGTATAATTACGGAGTTTAAACAAAATTTACAGCACATTGCGTTTAATGAAAGTTGTTAGGGAGAAAGACCAAAATAGGACTAAAACATTGAAAATATACCAAAATAGGACTTCCATGTTTTTATTCCCGAAATAGGACTTACATTAACATACATGGTCATATGCATTACCAAAAAAGTATAGTAATTTGCACATGTACACTGTCACATACTCACATTACAACAGGGCAAAGTCACATTACCACAGTGCAAAGTCCTATTTTGGGAAAAAAATATGAAAGTCCTATTTTGATACTTTTCTCTATGTTTTAGTCTTATTTAGGGTGATTTCTAAAGTAGTTAAACAAATACCTTAAACAAAAGCAGTAGTTCAGCAATTTTTTTTACGGCCCGGTTCCATGGCCACTGGATTCCAGCGGCCATGAAACCGGGCCGTTTTTTTTATTGTTTTGTTTCCTTTTTTTTAATTTCCTTCTCTATCTCCCCTTTTTGAATTATTGGATCCAATAAATTCTTAAGCAATAATCTCTCCCGCCACGCATTTCCTCGTTTTGACGACGGCGCTGCTTCCGTCAACACCGTCGATTTCCACGTCACAACATTCGCATCTATCAATCTGAAATAGTTAAACAAATCTGAATTTTAGAAAAAGTTTTTTACTATCTCGAGTTTTAACATTTTGTAATCAGCAATTATCAACATTTAACTTAAAACTGAATAATACAAACACACACACACACACTGACACACACACATATGGAGTATATTACCAAATCAAATAAAATTATTTTTGTATCAATATATGATATCATTTTTATATAATTTATGGTCAATATTTATCAATTTTGAAAAAAAATTAAAAGTGGACAAATATTCAATGAATGAAGGAGTAATATTCATGCAAAAACAAAAGGGAGAGTTAATATGGAAGAAAAATAAATTGATAAAATGAGGAGAAATTGTCTTAACTAATATCCTTTTTCCCAAAACAATTCTATTAATTTTTAATAGATAAAATGAATCGTGTGATAGCATGCCATCAAATTAAAATTATTTCAATGTATATCAAAATATTTTAATAGCATAAAATGTTAGTGCAAGAACGAGCACTAAAAACTATCTTTCAAACAGACGGGATGTTCATTATTTATAAAGAACAGAATAATGATTATTTATAAGACTAAAATTTAAAAGATTTTCATGACGAAATAATGTCCAAAACAAAAAACATTCCTACTCAACCCCGGTGGTAGTCACCGGCTCACCGCCTATTGAGTCCCGCTACTTGAGGCTGTCAGTCATGGGTATCCGTTATGAATTTGTAATATTGTTGAACGAGCACTCTGCACCTCAACCCCAAACTAAATTTAACACCAATTTAAATTTTTCTCTCATCTAAGTAAATTAAATTATAAAAAATAATGGATGACACTAAGATGAACTCCCTCCGTCCCAAAATACCTGCTTTCTTTTTTACGAATTTGTAATATTGTTGAACAATCTTTCACTTTGCACCTCAACTCGAAACTAATTTTAACATTATTTATATTCAAATTCTTGTCTAGTTTAAATAAAAGTGAAATTTGTAGTGAATAAGACTAAAACATAAGTCATTTCCCAATGTAGAACTTAATTTTTTTTATTCCATAAATAGGACTTAATAATGACTAGTGAGAAGAATAATGTCCAAGTAATGCTGGACATTTAGTTGAATAATGACTAATAGATAATGACCAATAGTCCTACATTGGAAAATAAAAACATATGGTCCTTTATTGAGAAAGTCATTATATTTTAGTCCTATTTAGGTAAATTATTCTAAATAAAATCAAATTAATAGAATAATAGAATACCTGTTTTGGCTCTGTTGCCGGTGAGTACACCAGAATCTTGGAAATCCGGTCAGCTGATGAACCGTTACCGGCGGCGGAGCAAGCGGGCAGTCCACGCCGCCATGACCGGCGATACGTCCCGAGTATCTCGTAATGTGCGGGGGTAACCGCCACCATCTCGGCAGACTCGAGGAAGAACGCATGAGGAACAAGACAGGGGTCGAAGGCGGCCGCCGCCCGGAGCCGCCCGACATCAAAAATCCAGTGCGGCGGCCCGGGGGTTTTCGCCCATGGCTTGAAGCTCTGGATTGGGTTCTGCAGGTAGCTCCGAGGCATTATCTTCTCATATATGTTGGCAGAGTATCCCCATGAAATTGAGAACGACCAATTGCTTTGCCTGTTCATTAAATTTTATTTTATGTATTAATTTTCAAATAATTTAAATTGAAAATAATTTTAGTAAAAAAAATGTTAACTGAATCATAAACATTTTTTTGGGACGGAAGAACTAGGGAGTGAAAACAATTTTTGAATTAATTTTGTACTAATATGTAACATAATTTTTATTTAATACCTCTTCCATTCTAAAAAATTCTTCGGGCCCGTTTCGTACATGAAATTAACGGGATTGGAATTGAACTGAGAGTTGAAATTCTATGGAATTGATTTGGATGGAATTGAATTTTCCAATTCCAATTTATTTTTGGCGACACCAATTCCAAATCCACGTATTTTTTTGCTTCAAACAGCAGAATTGAAATTGTTGTCTCCAATTATAATTTCAAAGTTTGAATTCCATGTACCAAACAAAGCTTTCCTTTTTTTGGTCAAATAATGACACTCTTTAACCATAAATTGCGAGAAAATTAGAATTATTATATAAATTCAATATTTTCTGGTCAAATTATGACATTCTTTGAGCATAAATTGTGAAAAAATTAGAATTATTATTGTTACTGTTTGACCAAAAAAATCAAAATAAGAAGAATTTTTATGCCCGTATAGAATACTCCGTATTTGATTAAGTCTAATCTAATTTGGTAAAAAAAATCAAATCAAACGAATATTCTGAAAAAACAGATAAATATACCTGTGGAAGCAGATGATCTGTTGGAGGATCCGAGTTTGATCCAGATTTGCAGCGTTCATTAGATGACCAACGGATTGGGCTCTATCCATGGATGGGAAGATTGGGTTGACATAGTCAAAATGGTGGAGGGATATTAAGGGTGTGTTTGGGTGATGTGATAAAAATCCTGATATGTCTCCTCTCATATCAGTCTGTGTATGTATGAATTTTAAAAATTAAAATTATATTCCCTATTTCAAATTTTATTTCATTGTATTAATATGTACTTTAAAACTTTCTCCGTCTCATTAACTTCTCTCTATTACATGGTATGTTTTTTTTAAAATCAAACAGTCATACTCTTTGACCATAATGTTAAATCGATTTAATATATTAAAACTATATCTAACATGAATCTAACTGTATAAAATTTATATCATAATTTAATAATACCTCCGTCCCCGACTATTCGTCCAGTTTGACTTTTTCGAGTCAAACAAGACGAACTTTGAGCCTTAATTAAGTAAAAATTTATAATGTATATTAGTATAAAAATGATTTTAAATTATTTAACTTCTTTAGAAATTTCAAAATTTTATTTTATTGTATTAATATGTAATACAAATTCAGAGCAATTGATGATTTAAGTTTGACCAGTTTGACTCGAAAAAGTCAAACTGGACAGATACTCTGGGACGGACGAAGTATATTTTTTTTTACAATTTATGGTTAAATGATGTCATTGTTTGACTAAAAAAAGTCAAAAGATGAAAGAGTTTATGCGACGAGGAGAATATAAATTAAGATCGAGCAATCGATGATTAAAATTAATTCAATTTTTGAAAAAAGTTAAATAGGACGAATAGACTGGGATTATATACCTGGTGAAAGCCATGTTGTGGAGACAAATTGACACCAAGATCTGCAATGCAATAGGAAGAAGTTTTATCAGCACTATTGAGATTTTGGTATCTCTTGAGGCAACCCATTATTCCATGGGACAGTGCCCTTGCCAAGGGATAGCTGAGCACTATGCCACCCCCTCCAAAGGCCTGCTGGAATGAGAACCAGTAGTTGGACAGGATGAACTCCGAGTGGCCTCCCAGATAGTACAGCTTTCTGTGGTCCAGTCCGGCCAGAAGAGCCACCAGGTTGTCCACCAGGAACACGGTGTCGTCGTCCGCCATCACCACCCACCGCACCTCCTGCTGCGGCGGCGGCGCGTCCCTCACAACCTCCATTATCCCGTGCACCATCCTTGCCACCCTCTTGTTCTGGTGCTTCGTTTCTCTCATTATCCGGTTTACGTCGTCGGATACCCTACGTTATAAATAGTCATTAATTGCTAAAGTCATGTTTTTTTTTAATTTTGGTCAAGAGACCGTAGTTTAGATGACAAAGAAAGGTGTAAAATAACGTTCTCCGTATATAAGGTCTTTATTTGACTTCTGACAACAATAATTGAGAACGATTATGCATAACGTGAAGACCTTGCATGTATCTCATATAGGGGTGGGCACGGATCGGGACGGTCCGGATTTAGGTTGTTCCATGTCTTGTCCCGTTATATATAAACGGTTCAGAACGGTTCGGATTACAATCTTATCCCGGTTTGTCCCATAAAATTTGGGATCGGAACAAACCGGGACGGATTCGGGTCGTCCCACTTTGTCCTAATCCCGAACATAAGAAGGTGGGTACTCAATCCAAAAGTCACAAAATGTCATAAAGAAAAGTCATTAACTCCCAAAGACATCCAAAAACTAGTTGTGTACACCAAGCAATTAGCCATTGTCCACTGGATTTTTACAGAATTGCGTATTACGGAGTAAAACTTTAAAAGTGAATTAGCTTAATAATGGGACGGAATTGGGCTCCGGAGTCTGGACTTTGGAGTTAAGACCAAATAAATTTAATAAATTTTGGGTTGAAACTTGAAGTTAACTTAATTAATTAAAGAATGAGTGTATAGACTTAGACTTATATATTACTCCCTCCGTTCCACAAAACCCTTCCGGTTTTGACTTTGGGTAAAAATAAGGAAAGCGTAATTTTGGTTGACTTTCCAATTTTACCCCTGATGTGATGGAAAAAAGTAAGATGTGATAGTTTGGTTATTAGTGAAAAAGTATGATGTGATAGGTAGGGTATGAAAAAGTAGGGGTAAAAGTGGTTTTTTAATAGAAAGTGGAAGTATTTTATGGAAAGCAAAAAAACGAAAGAGGAAGGGTTTTGTGGAACGGAGGGAGTAATAGAGTAGATAAAACAGAACAAAAGGGACGGATCGGTATAAATTTAAGTTGTCCCGCTCATGTCCCATTTGATAATGAGACGGAACGGGTTCGGAATAAAAAAATGGTGTCCCAATTATTCGGTACAATTACAAAACGGATTCGGGATTTTTCGAAACGGTCCAACGAGAACGGATTTCATGCTCACCCCTAATCTCATATAGTAAAACAAGCCCTTGCATGCATATCAAAATTTATACTCCGTATATTGTAATGTGAAATGATAAAAAAGTATCAGAGTAATTTATGTCAAATACTGATTCAAGTAATTGTAGAAATGAATATCTAAATAGGACTAAAATATTTTAAAATAGAAATTAAAATATGAGTATAATCTACAGTACATCATAACTTAGTTTGGTTGTTACTTCGTTGTATTTTAAATATTTCACTTTCAGATTGTATTTAAACAGTAATTTGGTAAAATAATGTAAAAGAAGCATCAATCACTGTCAAGGAACCTAATCAACCAAAAGCTTAAGCTTATGCTAGTGGCTTAAGAAAAGTTTCTTATATTCTAACACGCACCCTTACGTCCAGGCGTGATTTTTTTCCGAGCATTGCACATGAAACCTTAATTCTTTTAAATTGGGTACGGTGGTGATGATCAAGTTTCGAACCCGCCGTGACCTCTTAGTTAACAAGGTTCTGATACCATTGTTAAGGAACCATTTAACCAAAAGATCAAGCTTGTGATTGTGGCCCAGGAAATATTTTTTTTATATTCTAACAGTCACATATCATAAACCGTATTAGATGACCAATATAATTTTTTATTTTTTTATTCTACATCGATATTTAAATCGAAATATTGAATCGTGTTGAATGACACTCTCGCAACGAACTTTTTACCTATAGGGTGGGGAAAAAGGAGACCACGGGAGCAAGTCTCCGGTGGGCTCTTTATCCAACAACAACAAACCAATCGTCGCGTTGGGTCGCCACCACGACTCGACGTACGCCTTCCTGTGGTGCCACGCTCTCTCGGAGCCGAGAACGCCGAACACCAGGTGGCTCAGATCGGTGGGACGACACGAATGATCATCATCATCATCACCAACAACAAGCTTTTGTGACAATGGATGGTGAATCTCTGAGCTTGGAAGCATCAAAATGACAGTCAAGAAAAGCAGTGGGCTTAAGAGTAGCAGAGCTTTGCAAGCTCTGATAATGGCGGACTCATCGAGTGAGGATGACATGGTGAGGAAGATGATGGGATTAATTATTAATTAATCTGCAGCTTGAAGTTGAAATGGGTCATCAGTTAATTAACAAAGGGCACATAAATAAGTAAATAACTGAAGAATTTTAAGACAATACTCCATATATAATTTACGAGGAATGCTAGGGGTACATCATTTGGTGTATCCCATTTGTACACCACTCATCACAACCCTTCATTTCTTTTTTCATTTTTTAATTCTTTTTCCTCTCTTGCCTTTGTGGGGTGGAGATGGAGGGGTACAAATGGGGTACTCCATTTGGTGTACCCCTAGTATTTTTGATAATTTACGGAGTATAAAATTTCCATTTTGGGTTTTTTTTCGGGGAAAATTTTGAAAAATTTTGAAATATCTTCGTAATGCCCAAAAATTTTGAACCTAGTTCCGCCATTACGAAGAGATTTCGAAATTTTTCAAAATATGAAATATGCATTTGCATCATTCTCAATACGGTAGACTTAAGGTCCACTATGCACCTATAGATGAATGAGGTAAGAATCTTTGTGTTTGTCGTTTTTGATCTTATTTACACATGGAATAAATCAAAATGGATCTCTAAACTGTCTGCGCTTCTTTAATTAATGAAGTAGCAGTTAGTCAAGCAATGCAACTTTCGACGTTGAGCCGGGGGTCTCTTTGGAAACAGTCTCTCTACTTTCGAGTAGGGGTAAGGTCTGTGTACACACACCCTCCCCAGACCCTACTCTTGTGGGATTTAACTGAGTTGTTGTTGTTGTTGTTGTTTGTTACACATGTCTATTGTCGACTTAAGACGAGAGAGGTGAGCAAATGCTTGTTGCACAGATGATCAATATTTTTTTAATAATAAATAATTAGTTGTGAGAAGGATTACAAATTTTTTGTGAATCTTAAATTTATTGTTGAGTACATCACTCGTCCCAGTGTATTTATTCACTTTGACTTTTACGAGTCAAACATGATGAACTTTAATTATCAATTACTCTTACTTTATGTTGCATATCAGTACAATGAATTACTATAAAGTTTTAAAAGTTCTCAACAAAATAAATCTATTAAAATCTATTTTTTATTAAAATACATTGCCATTTTTATTTAATAGAGGTCCAATATTCATCTTGTTTGACTTAAAAAAGTTAAAATGGACGAATACACTATGAGAGAGGTAGTATTTGATTAAACAATTGTCTTTCAAAGTTAATAAAGGAAAACATTTTTTGAATATGGATTAATAAAATATCCATTGAAGTTAATACGGAGTATAAAGAAAAAAGGACTAATTTTAGTTTTGTTAATTCCTCCAATCCTTTATCTAGAGGTTGGCGTAATGTAGAGAAAACTTTAATCCGCATTTGGAATGGTAATTATCCAATCATGTTTGAGACGTGGCTTTGAAGTTTTGACACTAATTAATTTAGAAACAATACGAAGTATACTTTATAGTTTTTCAATAACAGTATAAAAACTATACAAGATTTTTTTCAGACATAAAAAAACAAAACTGGAAAAATTGACGAAAAAACGATTTTGTTAAAATATATCCAAGTTATAAGAAATTATTAAAAACATATTCCCTCCGTCCCTATTTTGATTACAATTTTTTTCTCTCTCCTCTCGATAACTTTTGTTTATTTGCACGATTTCATTAAGTATTTGATAAAATAAAATATTCTTGTCACCTCTTGTTTTATAGAACTTTTGACGTAGTTTTTTAATATGTAATTTTTATATCTTATTGATATACCAATTTGTAAATAAAATGATTTCAAAAAGTAAATTTTTTTTACTCGTAACCCGCAATTTGTAATCAAACTAGGAACGGAGGGAGTATATAATTAAAAAATACAAAGGTTTTATCGAGAATTGTGAGCGTTTAAAAAATTTTAAGTGACACTTTTAAACATTTTAGAGAATTTAATGATATTATTGGAAGGAAAAGGAAGTGACACTTTTAAACATTTTAGAGAACTCAATTGCATTTTTGAAAAAAAAAGAATGTTACACTTTTGACAAAAAAAAAACTGAAGTATGTTTTTAGAGATTTGTTTCGTTGACACTGGGCTATGGTGATACTATGATGTAACTGTCTTTTTGGGCACCAATAAGGCAACGATACATTATTTGTAAAATTAATGATTTTAATCCCCTCGACCCTTGAGTGAACCTCCAACCCCGAGTTTATCCAAACCTACCTCAACATATTCAATTATGGCCCCAAAATTTTTTTGACTTAGCTTTGTTAAAAAAATTAAGCTCAAATCAACAAATTTTGGGCGATGGAATTGAAGAGGTTGGAGCTATCAGCTATGAGTGTTGGTCGGACGGGATGTAGGGTGTTAGGAGGTAGGACTCATAAATTTTAGGAACGGAGCGTCGAAGGTGCTCTATACTAATATATTATGACACTCAGATTGATGAATTGATGATTAGTAATACTAATGCTAAAGTAAGAGTAAAAATATAGAAAAAAACGAAAATAATTTTTTCATGTTTTTAACATTTAAATATGATTTATAATGACAATATATAATATCATCAAAAGTATTACTCCGTATATTGTTGAATTTTAATATACAATTTCATAGAAAAAAGTGCATCGTTTACCTCTGAATAATTCAGAAACTGCACGGTTTGCCCTTGGTCATTAAAAAGTGCACCAAATACCTATGAATTTTTTAAAATTTGCACGATTTACACTTGAATTTTAAAAATGGACCAAATACCCCTGAACTCTTCAGAAATTACATGGTTTACCCCTTAACATTTAAATAAAAATGATAATTTTGGGGAAGAATACGCTGGAGAATTCACAATGGCCAAATGAATCATACTCGCAATTCCAGTGCATGGGAGCAACGTACTCCCTATCTAGCATTTTAGAAATAACAGTTCAACGTTTTAAATTGTTCAGGAGTATTTAATGCACTTTTTAATGTCCAAGGATAAATCGCATAATTTTCGAAGAATTTGAAGATAAACGGTGTACTTTTTAATGTTAAGAGATAAACCACGCAATTTCCAAAGAGTTCAAGGTTAAACGGTCTACTTTTCTCCAATTTCATATTATGTCTTTTTAAATACAACTTGAGCCGGGGGTCTCGTGGAAACAAACTTTCTACATTCGAGTTGGGGCAAGGTCTGTGTACATATACTCTCCTCAAACCTTACTCTCGTGAAATCCAACTGGATTATTGTTGTAGTAATTTCATATTAGAAATAAAAATATATTGCTCATATTTTAAAAATAAAGACAATAATAAATTATTCCGTAGTAACTACTCCATATTCCGTAATGGTATGTTTGGGAACATGGATTTAGATTTCAAGTCCGGATTTGGCTCAAATTCCATGTTTGGAAACTTAAAAATTTTGAATTTGGATTTAAGTCAAATTCTTCTCATTCATAACAAACTTTAATTTAAAATCCATGCACCTTCCCTTGTCATTTGAAATTTAAGATTTCAAATTTTGAAATTGAAATGCATGAATTAAAATGAAATACTAGTTGCCAAACACTACCTAAAAGAATTTTTACATGATGAAAGTATAGATGAATGAAAAAAAGTAGTCCGTAGATCAGAGATTGGGCTTGGGATCATCCATCGGACATAATAGAGTAAATGGATTGGAGGCCCATCTTTCAGTTTGGGTCCAGAAACAGACTGACCCAGATCTAGTTATACTTCTGCGTATAAACAACGGAACCAGAAGAAAATCTACCAGTCGTGAAGATGGAGGACCTGAGGGCAACTTACAAAGACGCGGAGGACGAGAGCAACGAATCCTCCCTAAACACCACCACCACGGCGGCGGTCACCTCCGAGGAACCGCCGTCTACATCCACATTCGACGGAGGAGCAACCGCTCCCGGAGTCCCCCCGGCGCGCGCATCCGTAAACTCTGATTCTGCATCCGATCGCAAATTCTCCCCGCAATTCGCCAAATCGTCCGAGACGGATGTTGAAGAGGACGAAGAGATCGAAGAGGATGAAGAGGAGGAGCCTCCTCCGAAGAAGCCTAAACTGTCTTCACCCGTCACACCGTCCTCGCCGGCTCAGTTGCCAAAAGTGGAGCCGGACGATGGTGAATTTACTGATATGCCATCGGATTCTCCAGTTGTTGAGAATAAACAGACGGTTGAGGTGAAAGAACCAGCTTCTAAGAGTAGCCAGAAGTCAAAATCGAAGAAGAAGTGTAACAATGTGTGGGCGAAGCCCACATCTAGAAAGGGGAAGAAGAAGAACAAGAGCAATGGTAACCAGAACGGAAGCAAGAAGAATGCCATTGCACAGGAAACTGAGGACAAGGTGCTGATAACACCTGTACCTAGGTTTCCTGACAAGAACGACGACGGGCAGGAGATGAAAATCTGCCTCTCAAAAACGTATAAGGCAGAGAAAGTTGAGCTGAGTGAGGATAGGTTGAGTGCCGGAAGTACAAAAGGGTATAGAATGGTGAGGGCCACGAGAGGGGTGGAGGAAGGGGCTTGGTATTTTGAGATCAAGGTGATGAATTTGGGGGAAACGGGGCATACACGGCTTGGATGGTCGACTGAAAAAGGGGACATTCAGGCACCTGTTGGGTATGATGGGAATAGCTTTGGCTATAGAGACATTGATGGGAGCAAGGTTCACAAGGCACTTAGGGAGAAGTATGGGGAGGAAGGGTATGGTGAAGGTGATGTCCTGGGGTTTTATATCAGTTTGCCAGATGGACGCCAGTATAAGCCTAATCCACCGCGGCTTGTTTGGTACAAGGGACAGAGATATATGTGCACAGCGGACCCAAAGGACCCTCCGAAAATTGTGCCTGGTAAGCAATTGCTCAATTCTCGTTTCTTCTCAAGCTCCATTCATCTACTGTTATGCTTTTATAGGATGACTGATGACTATATTGCATACTACTTATATTTTGTTTATCTTATCTTGGGAGTAATTCAAAGAACTGTTTATAGAGGGTTTCCATTACATAGATCTTGTTGCACCATAAACTTTATTAAGGCTTTTCTAAACATGGAATCCATTTGTTCTATGAAGAACACCAACCTAGTAAGGCCTGGGAGGATGGGTGCATACTTGCACTTCGGCCCTACCCCTACTTAATACGATAGAGAGGATGTTCCCAAAGGAGCATCAAGTCGATGAACATTGCATATATACCAACAGTAGATGAAAACTTAATGGAACCTATGTTGTGTACATCTTTTAGTGTATTATTTTGCTCAGATGCGATAGAACTATTGATAAAGAAATGTTTGGAATTAGCTAGACGTGTGTACCATTTATAATCTTGCTTTGATGAAGTTAGTTATTTTAAGAGGCAAGGGTATTGTGACAACTGATAACCTCTTGGTTTTGGTACATCTAATGGGTAGATTACATTCAAGCCTAGTGCTAGTACCTAATGAGGGCTTAGTTTGAACAACTTACTCTGTGTAAACTAAGCCCCTTGATAACATAACATGGCATTGATTTTACTCGACTCATATCACCTATGCTTCCATAAAATGCATAGTTAACAACATGCCCTGATTAATTTAAAATGAAAATAAGAATACTAACATTGTTTAAAAAAACTCATGTACTCTCCAATCTCCATGAAGGGGTAAGGTCTACATGCACACACCCTGCCCAGATTCTACTCCATGAGATTTTACTAGGTCTATTGTTGTTGTTTAGAGCAAACTCATGTTTCAAAAACTACAACTTTTAAACTATGGCAGCATCAACTTTTTTAAGTCATTGGGCATACATAATTTCCAATTTGTTTGTTTGTATAACACTTCTATTTGACTGGTTTGGTACTCTTTTTGGGGAGACCACAATTTCTTCACTAGAACTTCAATTTTTTTTTCCTGTTGAAAATTGAAACAAGACTAAGTTTTGGACATTTTTTTAGGTATTAAGAGTCTTCATTCCCTTTCAGAAGATTCTATTTTGATTTTTCCAAAAAAAAATTCTTCTTTAGGTATTAAGTTGGAGATTGTGACCTGTTTCACCAAAAAACATATTTGAGCTTATCTTTCCTAGAAATTTTAATTGAGACAAAGTGCTAACTGCCAAGCAGTATATGTCTTGAGGTGAAAAAGGCATTTAAAATCATGTGTGATACAAAGAGCTTTTTTCAAGAAGTTTTTTTTTGAACATTTGTATGTTCAGTTACTTCAGTAATCTAGTTAGGTGGCTAGGCTAGTCTTTTCATACTTGATTAACATATTACCCCCTACGTCCTAAATTCATCTTCTCATATTAAAATGACACAAAGTTTAAGAAAAGTGAAATTGTGTGGTTCAAGTTTATGCAAATGAGTGATAGAATAATAACCACTTAATTCTTTCTTTAAAAGGAATGAGAAGATTATTTTGAAATTTCCAAAAAAGATAGTAGGAAGGTCATTTTGGGATGAAAGGGGTATAGCTTTGTTGAACTATGATTGTCAAGAACTAATTCCAAAAACCAGCCACATGGAAATACCCCAAATAATGGTATTTGGTTTTCTTGTACCTATCTATCATTCACATAGTTATATTGATTTTAAATTTCAGTTCTAATGAGGACAATGGATTGTTTCACCTTTAGAGAGTATATTGGTTGCATCCAATCTTTAAAAAGGGAAACTTGTTACCAGAGATACCGGTCATGCCACTTGTGGGGTTCCAACCATTTAAGCTAAATATTCCTATATAGTCAACTGCTCTCTCTGTCTCACTAAAATCTTCCAACTTTCCCATTTTCGGATGTCACAGGAAAAACTTCCAACTTTATTTTCTTTAGAAAAAAATGAATGTCTGGTCACAAAGTTTCTCTCATCTTAACAAATTCCATCCACACAATTTTCTCTTTTCAACACTTTTCTTAAACCCCGTGAAAGTCAAATGAGATAGCCTTTTATGGGACGGAGGGAGTTTATGTACTTAGAAATTAAAGACAGATGTTAGAATTTGTGGGGGTGTGAGAAAAGTTGTCTATCATGGTCAAGCTGAACAAGCACTAACACTGATGTCTACATATATGCAATCATCATGGATGAGTTTTTCAGGATGGGTTATTGTTGTGTATGGTGTTGGCATATGACATGATATCATTGATAAAGTACAGAAAAAGGGAAAAATGCTAACTTCGGAATATATAGAGAAATGAGTTAGAATATGAGGGTTTAGGGTAATGAGTAAATTTAACACCATTTACGATTAATAAAAGACAATGGGATGAAATCAAACGGAAAAGGTTCTTTATTAAGCAATGTTTTTAGCGACAATAGTTACCTATTAGTAAAATCAAAGTGTGATCTAGAGAGTGGGGATGTATGCAGACCTTACCCCTACCTAAAAAGTTAGAAAAGCAAAGAACTGTAATTTCCATTGTCCAAAAATTTTAAAGAAAAAGTAAACAGATACGAGAAAGTGTAGAAAAAACTACCAACAGAGAAACAAAGCAAAAGGGACCACACTGCAAGCACCCCACTAGACCTACCTAACACTCAGAGCCGTGAACAGTCAAAGAACCGCACCAAACAAAGTCGGCCCCTATAGTAATTCATAACTTCCAAAGGCTCCTTTCTACGGTCAAGACTTTGATGAGTTGCAGAAGTATTCAAGTATCAGGTCTTGTCTAATCACCTCACTCTAACTTTTCTTCTGTCTACTTCCACCACTGCTCAGATTCTTTATCACCAACAAGAGTGTCAATGTTCCTTCTCCGCATGTGTCCAAACCACCTCAATATAGTTTCAATGTTTAGAGTATATAAATTGTTTTACACAAGCAAAACTAGACAGTAGATACTAATGAAAAGGTGACACATATGATCCATGTAAATTGGGGAGAACATTGAGAGAAATACCGTCTCGAGTATGATTTGAATTTGCCTTTAAGTTTGCGGGAAACAATTATAGGACCTTAACCGGACAACTCTATTATATTGTTCAGATTGTGAACTGTTCAAAAAGGTCTAATGAAGAACACGAGAGTGGTTGTTAAGATATGTGTGTGACAGAACTAGAAAAGATAGGGTTCACGACAAAGAGTTTCATATGAAAGTAATTGGCACGTTAGCCACGATTCAAAATAGGTAATGGAGAATTTACTATGATGGCTTAGCGACTTGCTGCCGAGGGGTGAATGCCCTTAAACTGTGAGTGGAGTCTGGGATGCTGGTGTCTTAAAATAGAGTAGTGGTAGTTAGCTAGACCAGAAATGATCTGACTTGAGGGTGTGATAAAAGTCTGCAAGCATTGGAGCCTCACAAATTCTTCTAGTAGGCCCAGTGATCTATAATTTAACCTTATTCGCTCCATCCGAAAAACATTAGTCTTTTCAATAATACATGCCGAATTTTGACCATCAGTTTGTTTTAAAATACTTTGTAAAAAGTTTTGAAGTTTACAAGTTACGAGTATGAAACTACTTTTCATCATAAACATAACAATATAAAATTACAGTTTAATGTTTGTGTATGCATTCTAAGGGAATTTAGTGGTCAACTCAATAAGGGCAATTCTATTGTGCAAACTTATGCTATTATTATGGCTCTGAACTGAAGGAATTTGGATTAATAATTATATTCCCGGATCTTTTTTATCATATTGATCAGAATCCAGTTGGGCTCTTTGTCAGGGGCCTTCTAGAAACTGCCTCTCTACTCCTTGGAGTAGAGTTAAGGTCTTCGTACATCTTCTCCCTCCTCTAGACCCTTCTCTTTAATAAAAAGGATGAACCCCATCTCCGAGGCCCCCTCAGAACACTTATTGAGCTTTGATCACATATTGACCCTACTCTATAATGGGACATACTGATTTGGTTTTGTTAGAATCCAGCTGGTATAATCTGCTTATTTAACCATCAAATCTTGTTGCATATGCCTTTGTTTTTTTATTCTAATTGTTGCTTCATATTGAAATTTGTATTTTGTTATGATGTTTTCTTTACATCCATTTGTTTCTAGAGGAAATGTTTGTTCTAACATCAGAACCATGTATCGTGTTTGAATAAACAGGAAGTGAGATATCATTCTTCAAAAACGGCATATGTCAAGGTGTTGCTTTCAAGGATCTTTATGGTGGTCGTTACTACCCTGCCGCTTCAATGTACACACTTCCCAACCAACCCAATTGTGTCGTGCGGTTCAATTTTGGCCCTGATTTCGAATGTTTTCCAGAAGATTTTGGTGGCCATCCATTACCAACACCAATGGTTGAAGTCCCATATCACGGATTCGATGGGAGAGTTGAGAATGGTGTGTCAAATGATAACAAAACATAGTTGCTTACTTTGATCAATGAACCTATTAAAAAAAGTTGTGGCTGTCACTGCTTGTCCATTTTTGTACCTTCCCTAACTCTTATTCATACATGTCTTCCACATGAACAACTGAACATTGTAATTTTAATTTCTCCTTTTTCATGCAAATGTAAACAATCCATTTTTTGCTCCCATGTGGGTTAATACATGATGGGCTATTTATGGTTTTTCTTTATTTATGAAGTTGATGCACAAGAATTGAAGCTATTTCTCTTGCTATCTTATTCTTCCATATTGCAATTATACAATGGATAAATCAAGGGTATAATTAACATATGATTTTGTTGGGTTTGTTTTCATTTGCTATCCATAGGTGGGGCTTATATTTCTCCATTTTACATAATACAATCTTTCTGGTGACAGGTAATTTGTGGCATTCGGTCAGAATGGGCACCATGCTCAAAGTGGTAAATGGACAAGATTATGTTAATGTGGAAGGGGCTGAAACCAATAGCTAAGCTTGTGGGTGTTACTCAGGTTGGTTGTGTTTTACTTTGTGAATGAAGGTTCCATTTGGCATTAGCTTCTCCGTTTTGAAAATGCTATCCAAAGGTAGCTTTGAGCTTTGATCTTTTCAAAAAGTAATCACAAATTATCTAAAACGTTAATGCTAATCACAAATGATATACCCAAATGAAGTCCGCCCTTTGTGCATAGCCAGTTTTTATAACTCTTCGGATAATGCCTATTAGTACACCTCAACAACAACAACAACATCAAACCTAGTAAAATTCCACAAAAGATAGGGTGTAGAGACGGTGTGTGTATGCAGACCTTACTCCTACTTGAAAGTAGAGAGGTTGTTTACCAGATACTTCCAACTCGAACATGGATGCAGAAACAAAGTGAACATAGTAGCACGAACAAAGTAAGAGCATAGAGACATGAAACACAAACCGATACTAGCATAAACTACAAACTAAGGCCCAAAAATCTATCCAACTATTCTAATCCTAGATCTCCAATTGTTCCTATCTAAAGCCATATCCTCATCAAAAGACCATATGGGCAGCTCGGTTGCTTTGAAGAAACAAATACTAAATTATTTATTTAAGATTCTAGATAATCATTGAAATCCTAATTAATATGAAATTATTCGTGTACATACTAATCAAATAGTGGCCAAGTACCCTATTTATAAGAAAAGAATGCGCCATTTAAGAATAAATATGTTTTTACATTTGTTTGAAAATTTTCAATTTAAATTCAAAATAAATCTCCAACAGTTATGTCATTTAAGAATGAACATGTCTCTTCTAAAGGCAGTTCTCGTTTTAAGAAAGGAAAAAGTCGGAAAGGCCTTGTGCAATACATTTTCAGACCCTTAGTTATCAACACATGTTTTTTAATTTCAAATATTCCCTCTATTCCAAAAAAAATCATTACTTTTAGTATTTACATAGTCAAATTATATTCTCTCTTGTTTTAAACCTATTTTTATTGTTCATTTGACAAAATAATATAATCATATTACCTTTTGTTTTACAAATTCTTTTATATACTCATTCTGTCCCAAATTAATATTTACAATTTGAGTTTACACGGAATTTAAGAAAATTGAAATTGTGTGGTTGAAAGTGATACAAAGGAGAGAGACCAAAGTTGAGCCACAAAAAACTTTCCAAAAAAGGAAAGTGGAAAAATAATTTGGACTACCCAAAAAGAAAACAAGGATGATTAATTTGGGACAGAAGCAGTAGTTTTTAGATATATAAAATTATTTTTTTATTTATACATCAATTTTGAAGTAAATTAAATTGAAAATAACTTCGATTACATATTGTAAGTTATAATGTCAAATTATTTTTGGGATAGGGGAATATTCATAAAGAATTTATTTAAATATGAGTAAAACATAGAGAAAATACTGAAATAAGAACTCCATCTTTTTATTCACAAAATAGAAGTTTACATGGTGATAATGTGGTATTGGACATATAACAATTCGTTTTGGAATTTATATTGAGATGATTGACATTGTATTTGTATTCTACTCCCTCCGTCCCCCGGTTTTTGTCCACTTTTGACTTTTGGAACTGTTCATCTAAGCACTTTGACTCATCAAATTCTCTCAATGTGTAAGCCTAAATATAGTCATGTGTGATCTTGTTTGATTTGTCTTAACATATAGATTATTAATATATAATTTCTATAATTTTTTAATATACAAATTACAAGATAAAATGGATTAAAGAAGTGCATTGGATGGTGTGCAAAAATGAAAGTGGACAAAAACTGGGANCGTCCCCCGGTTTTTGTCCACTTTTGACTTTTGGAACTGTTCATCTAAGCACTTTGACTCATCAAATTCTCTCAATGTGTAAGCCTAAATATAGTCATGTGTGATCTTGTTTGATTTGTCTTAACATATAGATTATTAATATATAATTTCTATAATTTTTTAATATACAAATTACAAGATAAAATGGATTAAAGAAGTGCATTGGATGGTGTGCAAAAATGAAAGTGGACAAAAACTGGGAGACGGAGGGAGTAACTCTTATTTTGGAAATAGATACATGGAACTCTTATTTCAGTACGTTTTCTATGTTTTATCTCTAGTTTAGTCTTTTTCTCATAGTTATAACTTATAAGAAACACTTAAAATATTTCCCAAACAAAAACATAAAAAAATCCATTTTACTATGTATATGGACATATAACAATATGTTTTGGAATTATATATTGACATGATCGACATTGTATTTGTGTTTTAACTTTTAACTCCTATTCTGAGAATAAAAACATGAAACTCTTATTTTAGTATGTTTTTTTTATGTTTTACTTCGAGTTTAGTCTTATTCTTATAGTTATGAGAAACACTTAAAATATTCCAAACCAAAGCTTTACAAAAATCCATTTCACCATTTTGTACTCGTGTCACATCGATCTATCTCTTATATCCTACATTTATATAGAAAGTAAACAATATTCTTGTTTTTGCTTAAAATTCTGTGATTCTTTGAATCAAGAATCAATTAGGAGAGAGAGTATGTAATATGCCTAGGGATGACAATTTCTACTCTACCCGACCCTCCCTCATGGATAAGAAACCAAAAGTAAAAGGGTAATGGACGGATGATGGATGGAGTAATGATGGATCAGGTCGGAAGTGGGTGGAGATGTTTCTCACCCGTCAGAAGTGGGTGGAGATGTTTCTCACCCGTCACCTGATGCATCATTCGACACATTCATATTTATTTCAAAGAAAATTATAATTGAAAATATTACCTTTTTTGGTTACATAATTTTGTTCTAGTTTCCAATGTTTCATTTTATAAAAACTTAGTTTGTAACTTAGAAGATTGTTTCTTTGCAGAATTTTATTAGAAATATTATTACTCTCTTATTTTCCTAATATTTTTCTATGTTATACGCTTCATAAGTATTTTGTTTCATGGTATTAATGATTAAAAAACTACTTGTCTTAAATTAAGTTGCATGTTTACTACGGAGTACAAGGTAATTTTATTCATTTTCTTTTCCCATTTTCATTACTAATTTGATAAAATAATATACTCTTGTCATCTTTTGTTTCGTAGAACTTTCAATGTAGTTTTGAAATATGTAAATTTATTTTTAATTCCACTCCAATTCTCAAATAAGTTTTGTGAAAATAGCTTCAGTTAAACATCGTAAATCGAAATAGGCAATATAATTTGGGACAGAGGGAACATTACTTATATCATCTGTTTTCACCCGCCTCACCAGTGGGTGATGGATGTAACGGGTGATGAGTGATGCATGTAACGGGTGATGGATGGATCGAGTGATGAATATGGAATCGAATATCCGCTTTGTTGCTATCCCTAAAGATGACCCTTAGAAATTGGTGGCCTTCCCATCACAACTTTAGTTAAAACTATACCATAATGGACAATCACACTAAATGTTTTTTTGGGAAGACACTTAATGACTTAAAGCTTGTGTAATTGCACAATGAAACCCTCTAACATTTTGCAATTTTTGTGCGGTTTGCAGGTTGAATGTGCTGCAACTCATGCATGTGTACAGTGTATCTTACATGTCAATACAATCTTCTTCTTCTTCTTCTTCTTCTTCTTCTTCTTCTTCTTCTTCTTCTTCTTCTTCTTCTTCTTCTTCTTCTTCTTCTTCTTCTTCTTCTTCTTCTTCTTCTTCTTCT